GCCCGTCATCTTGGACGGTCGGCACGCGCTCACGAGATTAATCGTTCTTCGCGAACACTGCGCCGCCGGCCACGCAAGCAGGGAACGCGTAACCAACGACTTACGTCAGCGATATTGGATTATACACCTGCGACCTACAGTGCGCACAGTGGAACGGAACTGCGCACTCTGCCGCGTACGCCGAACGAAGCCGCAGCAGCCCGTCACAGGAGACCTACCACGAGCCCGCCTGGACCCATTCTTTCGACCGTTCACTAACTGCGGAGTCGATTATTTCGGGCCGATGATAGTTAAGGTGGGTCGACGCCGAGAGAAAAGATGGGGCGCGCTATTTACATGCCTCACATCGCGCGCCATACACTTAGAAATCGTCTCATCGCTATCTACGGACTCTGCAATTATGGCGTTACGACGGATGGCTGCGCGAAGAGGATGGCCGCGCATAATGTATTCAGACAACGCTACGAACTTCAAAGGGGCGGACCACGAACTACGAGCCGCTTACGAAGAATGGACGTCGAGCCTGCACGAAGAGGGACTACGACATCGCCTCGAGTGGAGATTCATCCCTCCGGGCGCACCTCACCAAGGCGGAGCGTGGGAGCGGTTAATTAGATCAGTCAAGACAGCTTTAAACGCCGCCCTCACCGAAAAGACACCTACGGAAGAAGTGCTACGAACGTTGCTGACCGAGGTGGAGTTCTCCGTTAACGCACGACCACTAACTCACGTCAGCGTTAACCCAGCGGATCCGGAGGCATTAACTCCGAACCACTTCCTATTGGGCTCATCGACGGGACTACCCATCACCGGGACGTGCGATGCAGCGGATTGACGGGCCTGGCGCGCATGTCAAGCACTCGCCGATCATTTTTGGCGAAGATGGGTGCGAGAATACCTACCGACACTCGCACCACGCGGAGCGTCTGAACAAGGGAAACGACAGCTTCAAGTCAACGATATCGTCATAATCGCAGATAATACATTGCCAAGAAACGTATGGCCTCTGGGGGTAATTACACGCACCTACCCGGGACCCGACGGAGGAGTACGAGTCGCCGATGTACGCACCAAGACGGGCATCTTTAAGCGCCCCGTTAGCCGGCTCGTCGCTTTGAAGATTGAAGAGGCTACGCAAGCTGCGCCGGGGGGAGAGCTGTTAGCGACTCAAACGGCTAACGGATCGCCTAAGTAATTTACAGAAGAAAATAACAAAGTGTCGCCTAACACACCGGTTGAACAGCCACATCGCGTCAAGCAATAGTTCGTCGCGCGTCCTACCAGTCAACGGCGGAGCAACCAGTCGCAGCGAAATCACCGCTTGTCGAACCGCCCTGGGTGGCGCCACGGCAACGGCGGATCGAGGCCGTGATTGGTCGACGCCCGAAGATTAGCTTTTAAACACTAGTTAATTGTCATACCACTGTCAGTGTATATATATGTGTAAATAAAAATTTGTACGATACGGCTCAATTGTAATGAAGAATAATAAACGTCTAAAAGGAAGAACTCTTTTATTGGAAGAACAATCAAAATTAATACAGTCCACTACATCGACAATGTATTGAATAAAAACCAGCCAAGTGCGAGTCGGACACACGAAGGGTTCCGTACCATTCAATTTGGTAGTAATTTCGCTGTGGTAGGGCCACGCAACAGTGTTCACTGTTGCACGAATTGACAGGTCCATCCAGGTGAGTACCACCACCTCACAGAAGACCAGCGTAAAGTAGAAGTGTTATACTTCTGTCTTTCGTCTGGTGAGAGAGGTAGCCGGAGGCTACTTTATTTAAAGAGCATTTGCAACCATACAGGTGTTGCAAATGTCCACGGGCGGCGGTTATCACTTAACATCAGGTGAACCGCCGGTTCGTTTACCACTTTATCACATAAAAACAATCAAATTTAAATATCTTTATTCAATGTAGAAGTATTATTATTTACTTGTTGTTAACACTACTACTGTCACTACGAAAACGGCAAAAAATCATGTTTGTTTTATGGTCCCTGTAATAATTCGATGGATTTAAACCGGTAGCTGTAACCATCAACCTAAATGCATAAAATTGCATGTCACAGTTTTGTTACGCACTGTACCTTGCTGAGGAATAGTCAAATAATAACAGTCTTCTCCCGTTACGACTGTTAATGGATATGTAGTGGATCATGCAATCGGTGTAACTGAGAGACCCTTTTAAGTTGGCCGTGTATACCGTCCAACACTATATCTCTGGGGTCTATTTAGGGTTCCGTACCCAAAGGCTAAAACGTCTGTCTCTCTGTCAACAGGCTGTATCTCATGAACCGTGATAGTTACACAGTTGAAATTTGACTTGGGTGTTTGTTTCCCAAGGAGGGTTGACATTTTTTGGCAGAACACTTGAACCGTATTTGTCACTATTACTTTTAAGGAACAGGAACAGGCGTGACAGGTACTCGATGTAACCTAGAATAGCTCATTCCTTATGTGAACAACACAAAAAAATTTTTTACAACCTGTTTAAATCATTGTCTATTGGATTTATTTTGCTACCATAGGTTCAATATAGTAGTCTTCGATGAAAAATTAACGGTGACTTACCGTGAATTGTACTGTTCAATACTCAGTTTTTTCAAACAATCACTTTGCATATTACTCTCAATAAGGTAAGTTATATAGTTCTTAGTTGTCTAATAGTAAGATTAATTCATTATTATTATGGTACGGGCATTCCATTCTCATTCAAAATTCAAACTGATCACTCTTCTGCGAAGTTTTGAGTAAAATAATTTATTTTTTGTTTTATATAAGAAAATAATAGTGTACTGTATTTTTTTTATCAAATACTAACCTTTTAAATTTTTTGTACTTACCTTTTGCCCCACCTATATTCTATCTTGGTAGAAATAGGAACTAGCAACACTAGATTTATCGAATACAAACCTAGTTCTGGTTTTTTAAATTACAGATTACAGATTACAGCATTACAGTTATTTTTTGTTTGCAAACAATCGCATGGTGTTATGTATGCAGTGTTTGTTAAGTAACGCATTTCAATATCTTTTCGTTTAACTGGAATACTTGATAATTGGTTTGAAGGTTAGTACTTCTAATCATCATTTGTATTTGCTATCAATTAATTATTTTTAATTTCTTACAACTCAATCCATAAGTATGCTCATTGGACAAGATCAAGTTCAAGGTTGAGTTGAGACGCAGAACAGGTACAACCGTTATACTATAATGATTATAATTAAAAATCTTGAGTTCACATATACCACGAGAGTTTACATATAGTTTTATTTCAAAATAATTCCGAGAAATTTATTATAACAAAAAGAAAACGTGTGTCTCAAATAAGATTATGTGTTTATAATTGAATTGTTACAGATGGGCTATAAAATGGGTGAATTTAGAAACAATAGTTTATATGATCGTGTTAACAAGTTGTTGGTGTCATATGAATGGAGCGACTGTACATTTTCTGTTTGTGACAAGAAATTTAAGGCGCACAAATTGATATTAGGAATAAGTAGCCCCGTTTTTGAAGCTATGTTTTATGGACCACTTTCAACAAGTAGTGAAATTGTAATTACAGACATTGAACCTGATATATTTCAACAGTTGCTAAATTATATTTATACAGACAAAGTTGATATAAGATCAATTGAAGAAGCTTTTGAATTATTATATGTTTCCAAAAAATATATACTTGAGCACTTATCAGAAATGTGCATACAGTATGTGCAGTCAAATTTAAATATTGATAATGTAGTTACTATTTTAAATTACCCAGATTATATGCAGGACAAGCAATTGCTTTCATCCTCAGTTCAATTATTCTGTGAACATGCAGCTTACCTCCTTCAAGAAAATAAGAAAAATATTTCCAGTTTTTGCCTTCAGAAAATTCTTGCAAGTGATGATATGAATGTTCCAGAAAAAGAATTAATTATGTTCACTTTTGAGTGGACTACGAACTACTGTGAAATTAATAATATACAGAAAGATTTCAAAAATAAACGTGAAATATTAATTAAAAATGGCTTATTGAAATTATTGAGATTTCTTACACTGTCAATACAAGATGTAGATGAAATTATTTCTAATGACAACTTGCTGTTAACACAAGAATATGAAAATATAAAATGGGTATTAAAACAACCTAGTGTAATATGTAGTAGTGCTATTATGGAAACATTGTGTACTAAGACAATACCAAGAAATTCTTTGAACTTGCAATGGCATCTATGTCATCGGAGCCCAGTGCGATCTGCTGCTCCTATTACCATAAATTCAAATCATAACTTCATTGAATGCAAGTTTAAAGCAAATAAGTCATTATTCATTAACTACCTGAATATACCATCACGTATGATGTCTGTAGTCAATTACTGTAACATAACACCTAAACAATATTGTGAACATATCTTGATTTCTTTAATATCTGAAAATGACAACAGTATTATTACATGTTGTAAGTATAAAGGGAATGTTGAATATGACTCTAACATTGATATAAATTTCAAGAATCCATGTTTTGTAAAAAAGGATAATTGGTATAAAATATGTTTCCATTGGCCAAAAAATGATACACTTTTCTCATATTCATATGGAATCCAATGTAGAGACACTGTATTTGTGAGCAATAGAATTTATTTGGAGTTTCAAGATATATTTCTATCTTCTGATTATTATGGCAGTTTCCTAAGGGGTTTAAAATTTTGTCTATAACATGCAAATATTTTGTAAGCTGTAGTTATGTGCATGTTTTAAGGTTATTTAAAAGTTAATTAGAAGCTATGTAATTGTATTTATTTTATTAATTGTAACCAAAAATAAAATATAATATTTAAAAAGTTATATTTATTTCTAATTGGCCTATTTTATTAATACAATGTGTTTGAATGATAAAATGTGAAAGAGTTGAATAAAACTTACTTTACCATAAATAATCAAATGGGAATATCAAAAAGGTTTAAAAATGGTATTCAAATATGTAAAACGTATTCTTTGCTTACTGAGGTGGACCATTAAATTTTTTGGTTAGCAATATTATGCGCTCAGCTTCACGGATGCCGCTAAGCCTTGCACCATGTACAGTTGCAAAATAGCCGGGGACTGTAGCTTCACCCGCGAACAATAGTATTGGTGGCTGTGGATCGCATGGCCCTGGAACGGGGGTGCCCAATTCGCACTGGTGGCTAACGGTCGAACAGCAACTCATATAAGAGTATGCCCCGCAGAAATGAGGGTCTGACGCCCATCGCGAGCGTAACATCATTTGTGGGTATGGAAGACAAGGATTTCCTGTAAAACGCCGCAGAAGTTTTGTAATACCCTCGGCAACATCACTATCAGCCTTTGATTCCATTACAGCGGCCTCCTGTCCCGAAATCCAAGCGCACAGTACATGTTTGCTTCCGGGTAATTCGTCCACTGCGCATACAGAGCTTGTCCAATCATTTCTGCATTGCAGTTCTTCCGCTGACCAAGCCAGTTTCATGTTACCCTCGTGACATACCCAAAAAGGTTCTTTGTATTCGAGAAATATTTTATCGCTCAGTCCATATCCTAAATTGCAAATTGCATCTAACTTACAGGAGGGTAGCGGCGGGGAAAATAGTTTGTCAGCTTGACATTTAAGACAACCGAGAGACATTGTTACTATGACGTAATCACATGTTATTTCTTCACCATCGCAGCATTTGACTAAAGCTCTACTAGAACCGGCTTTACCACGGCCCCAACGTATGATATTAACCGCTTTGTTATACTTGATACTGTTATCTGGGAGGCCTCTTAAAAGGGGTGCTAGTACTCCAACGTATCCTAAAGGTACTCGAACACTTCCCCCTGGTAATTCTATATAGCTCCCGTATTGATCAGCGCTAACAAGCGATAAGTCGTCCCCGCATCGGTTTCTTAAAATATTAGTTAAGCCAAACATGACTCGAGCAGCGTCGTATCTTTGATCCTCGGGAAAGTTATACAATTCTTGTTGTATACGAAGGCCGAAGAAGTTGAGTAATGTGCCATGCATTTTTTCACCGCCCAAGCGAAATAAATTTGCGGCCTGCTGTTCTATCTGTCTAAACGTGTGGTAAGCAGTTATCGTTACTGGTAGATCCACAGCACGACCTTCGCTAGTACAAAATAGGCCTCGAGACGAGTCTAGACGAGTCAAAGGGGCTTGTAATAGCCGATCTTGCGACGCTAAAGTGTAAACGGAGTTTGGCAAACAAGCACCATGAATCCATTCTGCACCCAACTCTATAATTGAATCTCCAAGCCAACACGAATGAATGCGTCCACCAGGTCTGTAATCAAATCTTGTTGTATAAAATTTAAGCCTTTTATTGAAATATAATTAGATTCTATAAGAAATTTACCTTTCTTTTGCTTCCAACACATTAAAATTACATACACCGCATTGAGTAAGACGATGAGCTGCAGACAATCCTGCTATTCCGGCACCTATAATAATGACACGGGGTTCTCGAATGGTAGGTTTTATGCTGCACGAGTCGATAATACATTGTTCCCTTCCAGTAGTAACAGCACTGCCGACTGTTCGATATGTAGTAACAAATACTTTCCACTCATATATTTTTTGCAAAAAATAAATTTTAGCGTTTAACTTTTTAGTGCATAATACCTTCGTACGTGATAATTTCATATTGAATTTTTCAATTCATCTCTATTACATATACATTTTTATTCGCACTGCCGATTTCGGAAATAAGGACATTTGTGAGTAAAAAGTCAACTAATGTCATTACAGACTAATAATTATCCTCTTTTTCAATGGATTAAATGGCCAACACGTAAGCATTATGCTTTTTTAATTTCTCTTAACATTAGAGTTATTATATCATAACCTAATTTGTTTATTGATCATTTAACGGAAAAATTCACGAAACTTGTATTCTAGTTTGAAAATGTTCTTGGTAAAATGTTATAAGATAGAAGATATTGATGCGCGCTGACTGAGGTCGCGGGTTCAAATCATAGTAGCGAAAAGAAATGATCTCTGAACTACATAGCTGAGCAATCAAAATTGACGAGCATTTAGTTGAGCGGATTGAAATTGAATGGATCGACCTTCTTACTCGGGACAGATGAAAGCAGTACCGGCTAACGCCGCGTCCACGTACAGCAGGACGTTTTAGGAATTCTCAATCTTCACCTATTTCATAGAGCATCGAATGTGCAAGAGGAGGTGGTGCCAAACGTGGCTACCACCTGGAAATTGAGAAATCAACGTTAAAATAGGATACCCTCTCAGTAAAGCCAAGTGTGGATCTAGTGGCGCTAGATCCACGCTTGTGATTTGTTCGCACTGCCCATTTCCGGAAATAAGAACATTTGCACACAGACTAATAATTATCTTCTTTTTCAATCGATTAAACGGCCTACACCTTAAGTGGCATAATGTAATTATGTGGCAAAATTTAATTAAGAAGCATAATGTACGAAACCTTCATTTCTCTTAACATAAGTGTAATGATATAATAACATAATTTGTTTAGAAATTAAAATTTTTATAGTGCTAATCTCTGCACTTAAGATTGAACATTAAAACATGTAGAAAAAGTACGAAAAGATTGTCGCCGCTGTGGGAATCGAACCCAAGTCTTCGGCATTCGCGGCCTGACGGCCTGAAAATTTATAAAAAAAAATAGTAAAGATGCAAAAAAACAAAAGGTAAAATGCGGTGAGATTTTTGTCGGTGTGGCCGTTTAGCTTAGAGGTCCAACCTCTGGGTGCGAATCCGGAACAAGTGGGTTCCATTTCCGCAGCGGCGAATAACTATTTTTTTTTTGTTTTATTCAATTGTATTTCATCTTAAGTGCAGAGATTAGCATTATGAAAATTTAGGAATGAGTTAAATGTTAATTTTAGACTTTAAAGATATTTTACATGTGAAAATGACCTTGCATTAATATTATATTAATATAGCTGTTATATTGCAAGAGGCTCAGCACCCGTCAAGCCTAAGGCAAAATAAGCTCGGAGAAATTAGACAAACAATAAAATTAAGTAACAATACTTTATTAAATTAATTAATTTATAAATAAATATTACATCACAGCAGAAATATAACTTACATGTTAAAGGAAGGCAAAAAAAACGGAGCGTATTTTATTTCTTATAATAAACATCGTCGATTATAATTTGCTTCAACCAAAGCATGGACTAAATAAGATAGATGTAGTTAATTTTCGTTCTGGTAGATACTAATTTCGGATAAGTTTTCTAAAATACATATATGTACGTATACGCTAAAATCATATCACTATGGTGTAGTGAATATCTTCGCATTATTATGTGATGACGATTAATTTAGGTGCATTAATTAAATCTCCAGTTCAAACTCGAGAGAAATTTTATTATCAGTTGCATCGCCTATATATCTATAGATATAACGGAATACTTCATCATATATTTTATTATTTAATAATTATTATTTTTGTTTTTATCAATGGAATTTGTGATTGTTTTTTGCATTGGTTTACTTTTGAGCTAGTACTTCATCGGCGGAATTTTTAACCTCCTCCCATGAGAAATGAATGTCCCTTTCTTCAGAGAAACGAGAACAAATAGCTAATCTTAGAAAATAGACGTCGTCAATCTTAGAAGGTACAAGATGAATCTTTCCGCGGCCATTGATGCGCCTCAATAACTCTTCATTATTCTCATTGTTGCCCTTCAATCTGAAGCATACAAGTCCCATGGTGACTTCTTCAACTATTTCAAATCTCTCGTCAGACGTACACAGCTTCTCAAAGAGGTGGGCCAGTGCAATGTGCTTCCGAATGTGCTTCTGCAGGTTTTCGACGCCGTACAATCTCAACACGAACCATAACTTTAGCGCTCTGAACCGGCGCCCAAGGGGAATTTGCCAGTGGCGGTAGTCCGGCGCGGAGCCCTGTTGGTCGTGCTTCAAATAAAGCGGGTCAACGTTGAACGCGTCGACGATCCATCTCGGCTGCTTGAGCCACATGGCTGAGCAATCGAAATTGACGAGCATCCACTTGTGCGGATTGAAATTAAATGAATCGGCCTTTTCTACACCCTTCATAAGGTAACGGTACTCGGGACAAATGAACGCGGAACCGGCGTACGCCGCGTCCACGTGCAGCCAGACGTTTTGTGAATTGCAAACGTCGCCTATTTCATCGAGAGCGTCGAACGTGCAAGAGGAGGTGGTCCCAAGCGTGGCTACTACCTGGAAATTGAGAAATCTATGTTAAGATAAGATATCCTCTCATTAAAGCTCTTCAATAAGTTCGTAAACAGAGTTAATAGCTAATTAAAATAATGTAATTTATGTTTTGATTTAAATAAAAACAATGGAGAAAGAGACCAACGAATATACAAATGTAAATTTTTAATTTCAAAACTGTACAGTTAGTAGTATATAGATACAGAGAATATTTTCATAATTATGTATATGTTATGAATTTCAATAAACTTAACGGTAGGTAAATTCATTCTTAAGACGAACAGTACAAACTCGGAATCTTGCTAGTGCTAAAGTTTTCGCATAAAATATTTGGACACATTAACAAAAAATAAAAGAACAAATGCACTTACATAGAAAGGGATAAGACCGTTTTTAATATCTTCATCCATAGCCTCCTGCAAAATATCGCCTCGAAGACGTCTCTTATTATCGGGCTTCAAAGAGCGCATTTTTACTCCTCCTAAGAGACCAGCCCGCTCAACGGACGAATGAGCTTGTTCTAAAACAGATAAAACCCTGTTTAAAAAATCGTAAGACGATAAAAAGCAAAAATCGTAGTGCTTATATCATGAAATCGTCGTCGGCCTTTTCCAAATAAAGTGTTACAATGCAATTTAATAACGGATGTAAGCGTTATTTACAATACTACGATAAAGAGATGTTATGCGAACTAATTTTTTAATATTGAATTTTTAATTATTAGTGCTAGCGTAAGATAAAACTTAAAAATGTGTAAATAAAACTCGCAAAGTTATTCGCCGCTGCCAGCGCCTTCCGAATTACTTGTCCTTACCAATCTATTCCTGATAATTAAATTTCAATAGCAATTATATACATTACAATGAATATTTGGAAACTAGAAATAAGTTTTCAAATATTCTTTGTCAAATGTATAGTGTAACGCCCTATTAATAATAATAAACATTATTATTAATTAATCATAATAAAGATCAATTAAGATGAAAATAAGACGTTTAAGAATGTTTAATCACAAAAGTTAATAATATATACTTAAATTATGGAAATATAAGTAATAGTATAAGAAAATGATATTACCAAAAATTTATTAAAAATGCATTATTTAAAAATATAGGAAGTTACAATCACTATTATGTCAATAAAATACAATTCCATATATAGTGATTTCTAAGAGAAGTATTATGTACCGTGCGGGGACACATTTGTACGACCGTACATATATAAGTACAGAGGTCGATCGCGACTCTTAGTACTATAGGGAAAGTACATTGTAAGAACGTCCCATACCAATATCATAAGGTCTAATGGATAAAAGTGATGATGATAAGTAGAAGTGGGCGATACAAATCGTATCAGATATGAAAACTAGATATTAGTACAATATCCCAATATCGCTTACTGGCTCGTTCAATATCTATGTATTTTACAATATCTGATATTTCCGAAATCTGATGTACCGTGCCCGCTCGCTATACCGACACGAATCGCGATACGGCGATATCATACGCGTTTGCCACAATATCTGATTTTTAAACAGATTTCGAGAGACAAAGCGCGTGAGATACAAATACTCACTAGTTAGAGCGGGACGGCAAGCAATGCACGATATCAGATATCGAGCGACAAAGCGCGTGAGATATAAATACTTACTAGTTAGAGTGGGACGGCAAGCAATGCACGATATCAGATATTGAGCGACAAAGCGCGTGAGATATAAACACTTACTAGTTAGAGTGGGACAGCAAGCAATGCACGATATCAGATATTGAGCGACAAAGCGCGTGAGATATAAACACTTACTAGTTAGAGTGGGACAGCAAGCAATGCACGATATCAGATATTGAGCGACAAAGCGCGTGAGATATAAACACTTACTAGTTAGAGTGGGACGGCAAGCAATGCACGATATCAGATATTGAGCGACAAAGCGCGTGAGATATAAACACTTACTAGTTAGAGTGGGACAGCAAGCAATGCACGATATCAGATATTGAGCGACAAAGCGCGTGAGATATAAATACTTACTAGTTAGAGTGGGACGGCAAGCAATGCACGATATCAGATATCGAGCGACAAAGCGCGTGAGATATAAACACTTACTAGTTAGAGTGGGACAGCAAGCAATGCACGATATCAGATATTGAGCGACAAAGCGCGTGAGATATAAATACTTACTAGTTAGAGTGGGACGGCAAGCAATGCACGATATCAGATATTGAGCGACAAAGCGCGTGAGATATAAATACTTACTAGTTAGAGTGGGACGGCAAGCAATGCACGATATCAGATTTTTAAACAGATATTATGAATAAGTTAAGTAATTTTGAATCTTAACACCATGCAAATAAGATCCGTTTCATTTAAATACTAATCTTGGTATCAGCGATTACTACAACGATATTATTATATTTTTATTGTTTTGTTTAGCCTTGAGCCGTAACGGGCGACAAAGCGCGCAGTTAAGTAATTTTTGAATCTTAACAGCATGGAAAAAAACTCTGTTGCATTTAAATACGAATTACGGTATTAACGATGTCTTTGAAATTTTGTTCAGCCTTGAGCTGGATTGCATTGGTACTTAACACGTAATAGTAAGGGATGCCAACTTACTACTTAAGAATTTTCTGCCTAAATTAAGGAAGAAAAATATACAATGTACATTTTTTAGGAGGTAAATTTTTTGTGAATATTTGTATTAGCTGAATTTTATTCATATTTTTGGAAAAAAATAAAAGTACACAAAAAGAAAAATATAATTTAATAGTGCTGTGCTGCTTTGGTGGAAATCAGACCAAGGCTTATGTGCCTTGTGTGTATATTTTAAATTCTTCCGCCCTAAGCTATAATACTGAATGTATTATTTCTTACACAAATAATAAAAATATTGCCACTCGATTGCGTGTTCTAAAAATATGTTAAAGTCAATTATTAAGCGGTATATAAGATGTTAAAATAAATCATTTTCATCATAAATCATTTATATTTTTAATTTTTTTTTTTTTTTTTTTTTTTTAGAATTTTATTAATCAACGTGGATAGGGAACCGTAAAATATCTAGATATTAAAATACATAGTTTCGAAATCTGATATTTGAAATCGATATCGGATTCAGATACGGTACTCAGAAAAAGCGATACGACCCATCCCTAATGATAAGTGAAGGCTCAGAGAAAAAATAATAAATATAACTGAGAGCGATGAATGATCTGGGACTTTATAAGAGATATTACTATGGAGTTGCGTGGTAATTATATTATATAAATGGTAATTATACGTTCTACCCTCATATCTAAAATTTGAGGTTGTTTCCATGCGATAACAGCTAGATGCCGCTATTAAAGATGCATTACTGAAAAAATGATGTACTAACTATTGCAATAAGCCACGAGTTTTGAGAGAATTTCCGTCTCAGTCCATTCAGGATGTTGTTCCTTTACTCGTTGCATAGCACGAGCCTTTGCCCCTAGAAGTCCTACGAGTGTGGCCTCACTCGCAGTACCCTGGATGACTCCACCAGCCTCTCCCCCAGACCGTGCCAGAAATTGTTCAGGTAGTCCGAGCATCTGGCCTAGCCAATCAAGCATTACTACTTCCAATTCCGTACATGCTGGGCTAGCGATCTGTAAGTGAAATTAATAGTCAATTACGTACCAGTTACAAATTTAATTTTATTCGAATGTTTAGTTTTCGATTTAGTTTCTTTTTGTATATCCTGTAATTGGCTCTTGTTTTTTTTTTAGTTTATTAGGTCTGCTTAACTGAATACAATCTTAAATGATTACAAAAGAAATATACACAAAAAAAATTATTGCATTCTATACATAGCAAACACAGCATACACAATGAAACGCAATATAACATTAGCTACAAAGGTTTCAAAATCAATCAAAAATATATTTATTCAAATAGACGCTTGCGCGCTCTTATGAATCGTCAAATTTTACATCAAAGATTATGTGTATAGGTTCGTAAGGTACCACCGGTTCGGAAAGCGGTTTCTGTTGAGAAGATACCGGCAAGAAACTCAACAGTTGCTCTTTTTCAAAAATATCAGGGTACAATATAATATACAGGTATAATAGTCTTATTCTAGCCTACGTGAGTATCAACAGTATTAACTCCACACATTGGCGTCGTCGAGATATTCCGAAATGGTATAATATGCTTTAATCATCAGTTGATTTTTAATTTTACATTTAAATTGGTCAAGCGGCAGACTTAATATCGACTGTGGGATTTTATTATACATGCGCACACTTTGCCCCATGAACGACTTATTTACTTTTTGTAGACGAAACAATGGCGTAGTAAGTTTGTCCTTATTTCTAGTGTTTATTTTATGTCTGTCACTATTCTTTAGGTAATAATTAAGGTTATGACGTATATACAAAACATTACAATAAATGTATTGACAAGCAACAGTGAGCATATTAACCTCTTTGAAAAAATCTCTGAGTGAATTCCGCGCTCCGATATTGTAGATTGCTCGGACAGCTCTTTTTTGAAGATTGTTTATCTACTGACTTAAATGAGTAAAAACTATTATTTTTTTGTATATAAAACATTATACTTTACTTTAATGATATTAAAGGACCGAAAAAAACCTGGACACTTTCTTTTTAGTAGAGACCAAAGAACCAGCGAATATGTCAATATCAAATCTAATAGTATTACATAGCGAAGGCATGCGATACATAGGAGTTCTGGCCGAGTTTCGTTCTACAATGAGGCAAAATAAACTTTTTTCCTATTATGAACGACAACCTGCACGCGGAACTGAAAAATACAAACGCTCTAATAACTTTGGAGAATCAATAATGCCATTTATTAATTTATAGATAAACATTATTTCAGCAGCTTTCCTGCGTGAAGAAAGGGGTAGCAGTCCAAAATGTGACAAATGATCAGTGCAAGACTTAAATAATCGACATGTGCGATTATTGTAACACAGTGGTATGAAAAGTGTTAGTTGTGGTATCCAAACGTCGTTTACGAAGGCCCAGCAACTCAGCGCCTGAATATTTTTTATCCAGTTGTAATTAACGACAAAACGTATCCAGCTAAGTTATCGGTAAATTTAAGTACACAAATCGCCTCCGAACCATTTCCGAATTATTGAGTGTCTATAGAAACCAAAATCGATGAAATAAAAAATAGAACTTACACTAGTACTAATACGTAATTTTAATATTTAATTTAAAATTTTAATTTAATAAAAGCAATGGCGACATCGCTCGTTCGAATGTTGTTAAGTAATAACCGCCGCCCATGGATATTTGCAACATCCGTAGGGTTGCAAATGCGTTGCCAATCTGTGAGCTAATAAAGTGGGCTCCGGCTACCTTACTCACCAGACGAAACGCAGAAGTGTAACCTCTACTTTACGCCGATCTTCTGTTAGGTTGTGGTAATTGCCCGGACGGACCTGCCCATTCGTACAATAGTGAAAACTGTTGCGTGGCCCTACCACAATTATGTAATTAAATTACTAATTGATTATTTTATTTAACTAAATCCAGTGAAAAAGAATAACACAATTGAGTGAAGTATAATTAGATTTTATATTGAGTATATTTCGACGTCAATTCAACTGGTTGTCCTTGTTCTAAATTCTCATTAAAAATCAAAAAAAATGTGGACATTGGCATTGAATCGTATAAATATTTCTAATGATATAAAACTACTTCCTTCTTTGTCCATAACATATTTGTTGAAAAGTTTCCTTTGGTTTAAGATAAATTATTCTAAGTGATACAGATGATTTATAAACCTACATACAGCAGAAGCATTAGTATGTTGATTAGTATTTTGTTTTATAGTAATCATTTATATACTAGAAGGAACTTACTAAAACATTAAATTCTTTAGCTAACTAAACTTGTTCAAGTTGACCCCCGTGATTTTGAATTCAAGCCTTCAAATTGCGCGGCAAGTCATCTACAGCAGCACGAAGGAGGTCAATATCAATATCGGCGGCTACTTTGATATATGTTCCCTGGAATGTTCCCAAATCAAGATGAGGCGTTGCCAGGCTTTTTCCTCCAGGTGTTGCCATATTTCGTAACCAACGGACTTAAGTCTGGACTGGAGGAGGAGGGAGGAAGTTGAGTCTATACAGACTGGAATCTTGCTGGAAAACCCAGTGTCTTTATTGAACATACTATGAGAAGGAGAATCCTCAAGGTTTGAGAGAACTGTACACTGTGTGGAGAGATGTTGATACACAACTGCATTCGTTTTTACGCCTTCTTAACTAAAATATACGTCAGCTAAGTCCGAATACGAGTCTTCCAAACAAACCATGAGTGACGATGGGAAATGGCCTCGCTGAACAGGCGGAATATGGCTCCTCGCTTCTAGCTGTTGTAGGCGTACACCTTATCATTTGTTTATTGTAGCTCACCATAACAGAAAAAAAAAATCATGCGTAAAAAGCGGGATCTCTTCAGTCTTCCAGATACCACGACTAAAACACAAGTCTTCACCATTTTCAACAAGTTTCTGTTCACTGAATTGATGAACTCCATCTGAGAAGCCAACAGTTTCTGCTTACGTGCGTGACTTTCTTTGGAATCGCGCCTTCACAGTTTTTATTACTGCTGGAGTAATAGTAACCTGCTTAAACACTTAAACTTTATGGTATGGTTTTAAGTTCAAATTGACTTTTAAGTATTATTACGGATCTTTTGTACGGAAATATAGAAAAGTGTTATTTTTAGACTTTTCAGGCAATTTTGTAAATTTTTCTCTCAGTAAGAACCATCCTCGTACTTCAAGGAATATTATAAAAAAAGAATATAACAACACATTCATCGATACATTTTTATATATAGAGATAGTGCATATTTTTATTTCCATAAAACATTGGATTCAATAAATATTTTTGTGGCCAGCTTTCATATTTCAAAATTCATAAGGTTTCATTATGTGACTGAACTTATGACCCTGTTAGGTACAGACAGTACCGAAGCGTCTACTTTATGGCAACAGTTCCAAAAAGGCCATTAATTTTTGATAATAATAATAATCTTTGTCAATAACCCCACATTACGTTATAAAACTAGTACCTAGTATGACATTTTTTCCGCAGTGAAGGAAAACACCGCGAAATAACCTGTTTATCGTATAAATAAATTATAGGTTTGAAATGTCCGTCATATAGCCGCGTAACTTACATACTTCCAATTATGGCTTGTAATTTTTAGGTCCAAGCCATATATAAGCTATGTATATTATTAGATGTACCCAGCGAATAGTATTAATGTATGTAGGATTAATTATTTAATAGTTGAGTAAAAGATGATTTTTGAACGAAGTATTGTGTGAATGAGAAGGATGGATGACGTAAAAGGGTTTGAGGGACTTTTCGCAACGACGCCACGAACGAGTAACGTGTATCTGTGTCTTAAAATGTATTAATTTAAATAAAGATGAAAATAGTAACAATATACTCAAAATAAAGATTTTATTTATCCTACGCCTACATGTATGTGGTTTGTTATATCTGTTTATTTTAAAAAAAAAACTTTGGAGAAGAATAAGCTGAACTTACCCATGTGAATCCAATACAAGCAATTGCACCGCTGAGCATGTCTGCTACGATAGCAGGGTAGGAGTTTGCTGTTGGGAAGTAGGCATGGAAGCGAGGCGAATGCCAATGCGTCACACCGGACATAACGACACGTTCTATGTCAGCCATCACCGCGGTCCAGGGTTCTGGCTTCTCAGGCGCCGTGTCAGGCACTAACGGTCGTAGATAACCTGGCTTCACTGATGGGACAACTTGCCTGAAATACATAAAGCGGTCGTTAAATTTAGTCAATCGGTAAAACGAGTACAATATAAATGCGCGATCACGGAGAATCCTTGCGCCACAGGTAGAGTGATTGCGCAAGTCTGATTTCAATAACTTAAAAACGAATTATTTTTTATTTACATTCAACAACATTAATTGCTATGTTACATGTAAATAATCTATTTGTTAAAATAAAAAATGAATATGAATAGTAACATATAATAGGAAGTATTATAAATAAATATGAATAGTACTTACTTAATAATACGTTTAATTATAATTATAATAATTTATTTGCATAGCCAAGTAGAATTGGTAGACCTAAATTTTGCACCATCCTTTCAATGTATGATGATATGTACAGAATATGCATACATAAGGCTACGGTTACGTGAGCCTACGTATTTACAAAGTCCGAAAAAGGACGCTTTTTATACAAATTTAATAAATAACTTCCACTGATACGTACCTGTCTCTAATGTTTTCCAAATATTCTGCAATGTAATCGGTCATCGCTTTGGCGAAGTCCTTGAAGTCACCTGCTTCCATTGTTTCTGTAAAAAAACAAACATTCTTTCTAATAGTTCTCCTTAATTAAGTGGCAAAACAAACAGCGATTATATACGGTTCATAAAAACTAGACATAGCTTCGCAACATATAATTAATTTTGCTCGAACTTATAAAAACAGCAGAACTTAGCGTAAACGACACATCAGCATTTAAAAGATAAATTATCTTTCATGGACAAACCGAATTTCAATTTTAAATCCTGATCCGTCATGGCTTAGACCTAAAAAATAAAATCAATTTTTAAACCAGTTTATGTATACGTTAATAAGAAATATGGAGAACCGTGATAGCCCGGTGCGGTCGCCGTTAATTACACTTACTCGAGCAACCTAAGTTCGATCCCGGAGCCAGCACCAATGACATTGTTAATTTTAGGTGCTGAATTATCATGTGCTCGGTGGTGAAAAAAAAACATCGTGAGGAAACCTGCATGTTTTCGAAATAATAATAAAAATAAATTTTAAAATATGTGTGGGTGGTGGACTATGCACTCTTTATATAGGAGGCCTTCTCCCAGCAGTGGGACATTTATAGGCTTTACTTTACTTTACTTTACTTTTTAATTGAGGTTCGCTATGTGCATACAACAGTGAATACACTGGTATGTTATTAACTCGCCGCACTAGATAAGAGACATGGCACGCTTAAGATTTTAGATGACACTTAAGCAGTGGTGAAAACGAAAGAATTTTTTTTAGGTGTCCCTTAAAGTTAGGGATCGATGGTGAATTCATTAGTCTCTTTATGACCTAATTTTAATTAATAATACTTATAGATCGTTAAAATAAGTAATGAGACAAACAATACGTTTCTTTAAATACTTGAACATAATGAACTAAAACCAGCAAACAGTAGAGATGTTTTAAGATATTCTTTAGATGTTTATAAAGGAGACAGTAGTAGAAAATAGTTTGTTTACATTTCTGAACCTATATTGATAGGAATTACGAATCTATTTAAAATGTTATTTAGAAAATTTTCTCGCATCATTCTTTCGATAACCACAAAATGACCACACAAATCAAACTACTTTCAATCTTAATTTGTAAAATTATTATTATTATTTATTACATTCGCTTTATTCCACAACCACACAATATTTCATTATTTTACAACAATAAAAGTTCCATTTCCAATAATAAATTCTCTCTAAAAATGACTATTATTGTTCAAGAATCATTTACATTCATATCCTTCTAGTAGCTTCTGGATTTGTCTGATTTTAGATCCTAGCGCACTACGCAGTCGCAAAATGTGATAAGTACCTATCTTCTCACTTGTAAGAAATAGATAAATTTTTTACATGGTTTTGTCATATAATACCAAATAATTGTTAGGATTTTATTATCCTAATACGTAGGAGACTTAATAATTCGCTCATCATTGGTATCGATTACATATTGTGTGTGATAAACATCATTGGTCCTTGTTCAATGCCGAGGCCGAGAGAGCGGCGCAAACGTGGCGTAGCGCAGGCGGTCGTTGCACAACTTGTGCTAGCCAGCCAAGTCGTGCGAGGTTATAAGCGGACCTCGCAGCAGACTAATGAACACACAGTTCCTTTGCCGAATAGCAATTTGTGCATTAGACAATAATGTAATCTGTTAAAAGTGCCGGGACATTATTCTTCGAATTTTTAATTTTTTTCAAAATACATTATGAAATTAGTAATATGAACACTATTTTTTCCTTTTTTGGGATAAGTTCAACAATATTTGTTAGGGATAGCGAATGATACCCACATTACAAACGTGACCATGAGCAGTTTGCCGTCATACACTGGCTATAAATTGTAAATCTATACTGTATGCATGTCAGTAAACAAATTATAAAGGACTCGGTGTTTTAAGAAGAAAGCATGCAAGAATCCGAATCAAATGAAAAGCCTATAAAAAGTTATTTCCTATATAAGTTAAGTTTACCTATCTGATTAATCACATCTTATCGAAAACGCACAGGTAAAACATATTTTGTAATTGCAAAATACAAAAAACAAAAATGTGATGACAAGAGGATTAATGTAAGATGGTGGATTATTTAGATAATGTTGTTTAAGAAGTATTGCAATTTACGTGACGTTCATTGTTGATTAAATTGTCACATCTCTCTGTCGGTCATTCTAACGGATTTTCCAGAGGTTGGTACATAAAATAACAAACAAAAAATAAACAAATATCTATCATTTAGACTGCGTTTTACATAAAAGATATAACATTATTAGACAAATAAAATATTGGAAACAAAAACAAAAAAAAATCACTAACATACGTACAGAAATAATATTATACATAAACACACATAAATAGGACGAAGTGACTTTTAGCCGAATATATGAAGAAAGGAGAATAATCCCGACGATTAGAAAGTCTTTAAAGAAGACAATTGTGCCACGAGCAAAGATTCTTATACACGGTGCAAAGGTATTGAATGTCGGGTGATAAGTAAGTTGGAGTGGACGAACGAATACGAATACAGTATAATCAATTAAATAAAATTTGATTGATTATACTCTTCCTTCGATTCTTTCAAAATTTGGGCTTCAGGCCCTTCAGCGGCGCCAAAATGACTGCCGGTATATAGAGGTGTTGAAGTGTTTGTATGACAAGGCTACGATGTCCGTCCACGTACAGTCCAGTAGTACGAAACCTATCCAACTGCAGAAGGAAACTCACAATTAATAATAATCATGAGATAGTATCATTTGCTGATGATACATTTTTAAATTTTAAAGTATTACGACGTTCTTTAAATTTTGACGATCTAGACAATACTCTATCCACTGAAGTACATTGGTTTAGTACTAAAAATTTACTGTTGACTAATAAAAAAATTAAATGCATTAAAGCAACTTCTAATGTGAAACATTAGCGCTGTACCCTATTGACTCAACTGTATTCCTTGGCATATCTATTGATGCTAAACTGCAATGGGGCCCATAATAATGCAATGGGGCTGGCGAGTAGATTTAGCTCAGCAGCTTTCGCGGTCAAAAAATAAGACAGTTGACTGATATAGATGCGGTTCTCTAGGTATATTTTAGTTATTTCCACAGTATACTGTCTTATGGCATTCTTTTTTTAGGGTAACGCGGCCAATATTAATACAATTAGAGAGCTATTCCTGCGTTTATAATCTGGGCCCCAAAGAATCGCTAAAAGACTTGTTTAAAGAGATAAAGGTATTGACTGTTGTTTCTCAATACATTTTTGAAAATGTTATGAAAGTGCATTAAAATAAAGATAAATTTTCAAAACATAATAATGTTCATGATATAAATACTACCTTCATCTAGATTGCGTAGAATAAGTAAATGCTTTTTGGGACAATGTTTAAGTATCAACAACAAAATCCCAGAAAACGTTCAAAATGCATCAATAGCAAAATTTAAAAAAGTAGTAAAAGAACGTTTGTGGTGTTAAAGGCATAGGCGTATATAGCTGGGGGTCCGGGTGGGCCATTCCCACCCCAGTATCGTCTAATGCTCACCCCAGGATTTTGGGTTTCCGATTTGAAATTCTAGACTGGACACCTAAGAAACTTCGCAAAAATCATTGAAATCGAATACAGCCAAGAAACAGCCTACAGCGAAACAGCAGTCCCACTGCCAGTTTTTGTACCAACTGGAAATTATTGTCAGAGGCTCTTCAGAAAACGTCCATGAGAAAATCGTCACCCAACATCAAAAGGAAGTTGTATAAAATATAGAAAATGTTTAAAAATGGACATTATATTTTTTTGACTTTTTTAAGACTTGAGAGGGAGATAAAAAATTATTGTTGATAACGAACTGCTATTTTTTTAATATGATGAATAGTGTTTAATTTTATCTGAAGAAAGGTCCAGGCCCACCCTGAAATATAACTCCGGATACGCGAATGAAGCTAGAAGCTTTTGACGAGTACAGCCACAGGATCGTCCTTGGTGGCAGTCTGTGGGGGAGGACTATGTCTTGTTTTTATGTGAAAAGTTGCCAAGCGAGCAGACGGTTCAACTGATGTTAAAGGATACCGATTGCAGATGCGTTGACAACCTTTTGAAAATTGGGCTCCGTCCACCTCACTCACCAGACGAAACGCGAAAGTATTATACTTCCACTTTACGCCGGTCTTCTGAGAGGTCGTGGTACTTACACGAATGAGCCTGTGCATTAGTGCAACAGGCGTGCCGAGGCTGCTGCGTGGCCCTACCACAGGAAGATGATGTTTATTGTTTGTCTATGTTTAGCTGTGTACTCAAACAGGCTGAAATGATGATGATCATAATAAATTATGATTATTTTGTTTGAATTTAATTGGTGCGGAGAGAACGTGAGATGTTTTTAGTTCCACTTAATTTAACGCAACAAATACTTTTAATAATAAATAACATTCGATTCTTAAAAAGTAACTGTAATAAAAAGACAGATCCCGATCCCTGAAGATTAAAAAAAATATTTCAAATCATAAAGTACAACGTGTAACATGTTATGCAAAAGAAACTGTTTCAGTTTATGATTTATTTTAACCGAACGACCAAGGTAACCGCAAAGAATGCACGCGAGATTGCGTTAAAATAACGATCTCGGAAAATTATTCTTTGATTTAAGTTTGTTACTTGACCTGATCAGAACAATTCATTAATTTCAATTCCATGAATTGTTGCATAATAAGAAAATTACACTTTTAGTATCTAAGAGCAGCTATTAAAATTACAAATTTTAAAAAGTTTTTATTCAAAACGTATAATACCTTCTGCCTTGAATCATGTAAATATAATATGTTAAATAAGCTTTAAATTACGATTTATCTCATTTATTTTTAAATCCGTACCTTAAAAGGTAAAAAAAGAACTCTAGTCCGTCTGTCTGTCCGTGTGTCCCTACCGAGGGTATTCTCAAGAAGAAAGAGAGGGGTTTCTCAAGAATGGGTGGACTTAGCAAGTTGAAATTTATACCAGATAACTGAGTTCTATAGTCCCTCTCGTGGTATAATGGTTATGTACGGAACCCTCGGCGTACGAATTCGACTTGACCAGTTTTTTTAATTAACCGACTTCAAAAAAGGAGGAGGTTTCTCAATTCGACCGTATACATTTTTTTTATGTGTGTTCGCGGATAACTTCGTCGTTTGTGACCCGATTTTGGTGATTCTTTTTTTGTCGGAAAGGCGATATCCCAAGGGTGGTACCATGATGAAGGAAACCTGTATCTGATAATGGTATCCCAGAGAAATCGAAGGCCTTCATTGAATGTTATAGGCATTAACAATGTTTTCAATTAATTTTCTATTTTTTATACTTGTTTTAGATCACTAATACAGTTTTATCGTCGTAAGTTATCAGCCGACAACTCACTAAATCGCACCACATATTTTTTTTTGTAATATATACAAACTTACAATTTTACCATCATCAATCTACAGTTGCACTTCAATTTATGTGTCAATACTCGTTAAATCCAATAAGATTACGTGCCTAATAACTTTTCTGAATCTACTAAGTAATTATAAGGTGGCAACGCCAAGCTATTGCAATAGATCCCAGGAGCAGCTTCGGGTGCTGCACTAATAGGCAGACTTGTCCTGGAAAGTACCACGGCCTCACTGAAGACCGACGTGAAGTGGAATTATTATGCTTTCGTGTTTCGTGTGGTGAGTGAGGTAGCCAGGGCTCACTTCTTTCTTGTTGGAAATGCATCTGCAATCCATCAGGTGTTATAAGATGTCCATGGGTGGCGGTAATGACTTAACATCGGGTAATCACCTGCTCTTTTGCCGACTTTTAGAGGAAAAAAATTAATCAATTTAATGTTAATTAATTTTTGACAGGAGTCTATAAACTTTAAACCTAGCCTTTTAAGTTAGGCAAATTCAACACTAAAATTTTGTGATTTTTTTTAAATTATCGAAGTTTTTAAGTATAAATATGGAAGGCATTTTGAAACATACTATGTAGATTTTTTTTGTTTTCATATATATTTTTTAATATCTAAGTAATATCCACAATTAAAGAAATAACTTTATTACTTTTTACTCTTTATATATTCCAATTACTCTTGTGTATTATAAATGAACATAGTAAGTTCAATATTTTGTTAAGAAATGACAAAGTCAAGAGGAAAAATAATGCGTAAACGGCTTTTGCATTAGGGATTCCCGCACTCTGAATATTCGGAACAAGTTACTCCGTCAGAGATGACTTATTGTAAAGTCCCTTTGGGTTTTTTCGCATGTAAGTACAATAAAAAAAATATTTTTTTCCTTATTCAGTGCATCTAATAGAATTTATGAATTTGAATTACCTTTTGTAAGTCAGTCTTTAAGAAGAAAAAAAACATAAAAACACAAATAGAAATTATTTTGACATTCGATTTTTAATAACAAAAAGTAATAGGTACTTGAAATTACCATCAACAAAATGTAAAAAACAAAGGGAAAAATAGGTTAATAAAAACTGAAAAATCGATAAAAATCATAAAATCAATTGTATTCAATTCAATCCCAATCACTATTAGCGTCGACGATTTATTGTATTTGAAAATCTTTTTCAGTGGCGGAATATTTTACGCTCATCGTCATTCTTCAGCCTGTTTAGGCATTGTTGAAGTGTACTTGAAGAACAGAAATATTTGGCACTGATGTCGATTGTATATACTGTTCAAATGTATCTTATGACAAATTTATATCGTTCTATCAATTGAATTTAGTAGTTCAACTATATATTATGATGTAAAAAGGATCAGATATCGTATCTCGACAGCTAAGGTCAAGGTCTGTTGATTGTGCTTGAAAGTAAATTTCTACTTTAAATTTGCACGGTCTCTAAAGAGACAATTTGTACCCAGTATCGTTCAAGGTCCAATAAAAAATAAATGAATTGAACACCAATCATTTGTGTTTTAATCAATATGAGATTAATCTACGATATATTATCTTGGTATTGTATACTTAATCGTTACGATCTACTTTAAAGAATTTTTTTAATAGTTCGACATAACGATGAAATAAATTAAATTGTAGCTCACCGAAACACGTAGATATAGCTGCTGAAACTTTCGCACAAAGTTGATAACTTTCTGGGCACGTTTTATGCAGTAATAAACGTATCTTAAGTCAGTTAAAAAGAAAACGTGTATTTTAAATCGTCGCAGAGCGCATGTAACGTTGATACCGCCTACTCTGCCCCGATTATACTACGCCCGCCGCCGCGCAGCTCCTGCCTTTATATACTCGACGTGATATGAAGGACCAACCTCACTATTATACAATGTAGTATAGCTCCATTTAGAAGATTAAACGCGACGTAGCAGCCGCCTAGCACAGTTAAATTTATTAGCCGCCCTACTTCACGGTAAACGTACACTAAGAGTTCAGAACTAACATAATTTAATTTCCGTATGTTGAAGGTTAGTAAGTATCAATAGTTCCGGCTTGCTATAAAATAACAACTCTAGTAATACGACTTAATTGATATTTTAAGTTATTTCAGACATCTACTACATAGGTAAATCAATAAACGTAGGTACTTGGAACATTTTCACATACTTAAATAAAATGTGGCGAAAGGTGACATGTGATTATATATTGTTAAAGTTATTTCAGTAATTTTATATTGATTATGTAATAAAAAAGGGGATGTAATATTTGGGAGCATAATTAACAACTAATAAAAAATATAAACACGTTATAAAAATGTGAGTTAAAGTTTTTTGTATATTTATTGTGGTTAAAGTAAAGGATTTTTCATAAAACATTCAAAATTTCATGACATAAAATATAATATAATCTCGACGCTTTATTTTTAAAGTAATACTGCTGATATAACGCACACAAGTGAGAATGTTGGGAAGCGGGCCGCCACCCTCAACCCACCCTAAGCACAAGGGGAATTGAATCAATTCCTTTTCACTCGGACTACTTGTGAAATCCCGCTGAGAGCATGATGTATCGATAGAATAAAAAACCTATGAAATATAGTATTAAATGAATTTAAGATATTTATTAAAAAAATGGGTTGGTAAGACCCATCGCGTGTAAGTACTCATACAAGATTGAAATGGATCATAACAGAAGCTACTTAAACAAATCAGCAAACGTCGAGATAGTGGTTTTTGATTCCACATGCCAGCTCTACCTAGGTAGAGTCCATCCAGCTTGTGAACTATGTGTCCGGTAACCCATTACACATACTACACATAAAAAACAAATTTTGTCTGACTCTTCAATAAAGTGATGTTACCAAAGACTTAATAATTTTACCAGCCAACCGAAATTTTCCCATCATCTATTCACTATTGAACGTGCTATAGAAACCTTATCACTGCCGCTTTTTAGTACAATGATTGCCTATTGACTTCTTTAAAAGAATATGTATGTTTTAATGTTCAATCTTAAGTGCAGAGATTAGCACTATAAAAAAAAACTTTTAAATTTATAAAAAGCAATGGCGACATCTCTCGTTCGAATTATCGTTGTAAAACGATATTCGAAATTGTTTCTATGCTGGTAAGGATATTATTATAGAATAGATAGAATAATAGGATATTATAGAATAGATGCGCCAAGCATTGCTTCAAATGCTAAATAACAATATAGAAAGAAGGCGTTAAGATTTTCGTCGCTGTGGCTATCAGCGAATGCCGAAGACGTGAGTTCGATTCCTACAGCGGCGACAGTCTTTTCGTACTTTTTCTAAATGTTTTAATGTTCAATTTTATGTGCAGAGATTAGAACTATAAAAAAAACTTTACAATTTATTGACTTCTTGATATATATATATTGTATGTATATATTGTGTTCTGTTTTCATAGTTTATACATATAAGGAAACTTGGTAGGTACATATCGCATAAAGTTCTCTGGCCATGCAATTTCCGCCTGTCAAAACGTAAAGTGGAGTAATTACCGGCGACCGTGCCACTCTCTGTGCTCTCAACTTTACTGGGGATTGTCAGGCTTTTGGAATGAGGCTGGGTGGCAGCGGGCGCTGTTGCTATAGAAACGGGGGAGGTCTTTTGCAACAAGTGGGACTCTTGAATACAGTACATTTATCCTCTCCTATCTCGGGCGCAATAACGAGGCTAATGTTACATCTTTATGAAGATAAAGCAAAAGATTTTATTTTAGTATACAACATAATATATCGTATGTATAACGTAAATACTACTATACTATGCATAATGTGAATTCTCCATAACTAGTTAATTGTAATATGCATCCTTATTTTACAAAAAAAAATTATTTTAATAACGAAGATGGCGGGCTCACAATTTCCTAAAAATTTCGTTATTTAAAAATATAGATTTAGTTTTAATCCCATTAATAATTATATAATCAATATTATATACTTACATTACCACATTGAGACTAGAGAGTATTTTACTTAAGACATAATACAAACTTTGAATCAAGGTAAATCATGAAAAACCAAATAAAACTTTGTCATAATTTTAATGTCATTTGTACCGAATTATTCGAGTTTGTGTGATTCTGCAAAATGGAATGTTAAATGATTCAGATATAAAGGAAGGAGAGTTGCTAAATAGAGTCTACCTCGGGCTATTCTACTAAAACATATATTTTCTTTACTTGCTACGTACATCTTGTTGATCAGATTAGTTAAACTCTTCTATTCGTAATATTGTAAGGCATTCATTGACATGATACGGTATAACTGTTTATCAGTTTATGTGATTTTACATCGAATTGAACGTAAAATAAGGGTATCTTAAACAATTTTATTCAGTGTTTTAAAACCTGCTTTAACTTTTTGGGTCATAATACCTATCTACAGCGTCACAAAAATTGCACCTCTCTGAGTTTGCGCGAAAAATGGCTGTAATAGCTAGAAACGAATTATATTTATATAAATATTGGGTATGTTTGAAATGTGTATTTGAATAGCTTTACATTATTAATAAAAAAATCATGAAATCATTAAAACATTTATCATTATAGAGCGTCAAAAATATACACTGTCAAATGCTCGTTAGTAAGGACGCTAGTTACACCACATAAAAAGGGTATAAACGGGTCGATCTTGATAAAATATGGGACCAATCCGTTAGTTGTAGGTGCCGTCACCTACAAACCCCTACCGCTAGGTTCGTTCCGTCGCCAATGGCGCAGAACCACGACACGTACCCGATTTCTCTGACGATGAGACGACTATCGCCATCGACAAAATAAAACAATTACGCAAACACATCAGATCACACCGCACTCGCCGGCGAGTGCGGTGCGGCAAACATATACTAGGTTCCGCCACGTACCTGGCAGGTTTTCCCCCGTTAATGATAGAAGCGTTGCTGGAGTTTCTTCCGCCACTTCTTCTCCCAGCGCCAACGCTTTCCGAAGTGGCAGTAATGTTAGATCTAGAAATTCTCCCAGTCAGATAATAGCTACCGATCGAGCCGAGGTCCAGCCCTCTCGGGCACCCTCGAATCGAAATGCAAAACGCGTATTGAGTGACAGCCCAAGCCGAGGTTCCCTCTCGGGGACCCTTGAGCCTGGTCACTCCATGGAGCGTCCGCCAAAGCGCCCTAAGAGCTTGGTGGCCTCCCAAACCGGTAATAATAATAGCGTGAAGGCCCGAGCCGAGGCTCCCACGGGAGCCCTCGAGCTTAGTCACCATAACGCGTAATAATAATACGCCGAGGTTCAGGCTAGGCGCCCCGAGCGCCCGGCCACCTCAAGTCCGGCGAATCTGTAAAGGCCCCTAAGGCCAACAGTGGCTCATCAAGGCAAAAAAAAAGAAAAAAGAAAGGAAATATAACGAAGAAATAAACCCAAGTAAGAACAAGTAAAGATGGACACCAGCTCTGAAGAAGCCGCTCAAGTGATTGCCCTGTTGCAGTCGGGGATGCGGCAGTGTGACGTTGCTCGACAGTTGAACCTGTCCCGTTTTTCAGTTCGACGGGTGTTCCAACGTTTTCAGTAGACTGGTGGTTATGTTAGAAAACCGGAATCTGGAAGAAAACGGTGCACATCAGAAAGAGATGACCGTTTCATCGTTACGACATACGACATCGTTACGAAACCGTTTTACAAATGCTGTTGAGTTGCAACAACAGCTTCGATCAACTCGGAGAACATCTGTGAGTGTTTCTACGATAAGAAGAAGGTTACATGAAAAGAGTTTAACAGCCCATAGACCTGCTAAAGGTCCAAAACTTACTGCACAGCATCCCAGAGATCGCCTAGAGTTTGCTCGCAATCATAGCGAGTGGACTCTAGAACTCTAGAACCGTAGACCGTACTCTTCTCTGATGAGACGAGGATCTGTCTCTTCTGCAATGACAGAAGACAGGGGGAGAGGTTCACACAACCCTGCTTCGAAGAATCCGTCGAATACGGGGGTGGCTCGTGTATGTTTTGGGGGCGGCATTTCCGTCGACGGGAAAACGGAACTTGTGTGCGTTTCCCGGACTCGGGGTGGCCGTGGGCAAGGGTCATTAAATGCTGGTCGGTACATTACTGAAATCCTGGAGGAACATGTGGTCCCGTATGCTGGTTATGTCGGTGATGGATTCATGTTAATGCATGATAATGCTCGTTGCCACACCGCGGCTATTGTACGGGATTATTTACAGTCTATATCCCTGTTATGCTTGGCCAGCACGAAGTCCAGACCTTAACCCAATAGAACATCTCTGGGATGACTTAAAACGGCGCGTGCGAGCTCGAGATCCAGCTCCAACCACTCTTCAAGAGCTCCAAGATGCGGTACTTGAAGAGTGGGAACAAATAACCCAAGAGGCTGTTGCGACCCTTGTAAGGTCCATGAAAGATCGCATGGAAGCCGTTATCAAGGCAAGGGGGGTAACACTAGGTTTTAAGAACTTTTTTTGTATTTAATAAGTTTTTTTTAAATTATTAATTTGCAAATTTGTACATACCCTGTCTTTTTCTTTAATTTCTCTTTGGTCTCGTTATAAAAGTAAAATTCAATTAAAATTCCTGAAAGCTAATGAAATTACCTTTCGAATTATACCCTCAAACCACAACATTGCCATTGGCCTGTTGTGTTAAAATAGTATTTAAATTATTTTTTTCGGATGTGCGATTTTTTTGACGCCGAGGGTATTATTTTTATTTATTTATTTTTATTTTACAATTTTAGGGAAACTAACAGCTAGCACATGAGTAAAGTATTAGATAATAAATACAGAAGGCCAATTAAAAGTTTCCACAATTAGATAAAAAATAAAAGTATATAAAAAAAAGTATATAAGCGTACAAAGAAGAATAACGGACGTAGATTTTATGACAACAATTATTATAATATTTACAAAAATATATTCTGTATTCATATTTTTTTTAAAAAAAGCGTTGCTAAGCAATTTTTTAAACTGATTGACAGAAGTATTATATAAATCAACGTCGTGTTTTTTTCCCCTACGTGTAATGGCTAACAACTTGACATTGGCGGAATTGTGATAACTCACAAAGCAAGCCATTATTAAGAAGAAGAAGAAGAAGAACGTCGTGTTGACACGGTGTAAAACACGGTGTTAAGTCCCTAACAGTGAACTCAAATAAGCAAAAAAGCAAGAAAGTGTAATGTAAGAGTGCTAGAGGTAGTGTAAAATATTATGATTTAATATAAAATACATACATACCTAGACATCTAATATATAAAACACTTGTATCACAGTTTTCGGAGGAGTATGGGAATAGTTTTATAACAATTTGTTTTTCGTAAAAATTATGGCAAAACAACGTTTACCGGATCAGCTAGTATAGAAAGTAGGTTACATACATGTATGTATTCTTATTTCCCTAATTTATATTTCCTCCTTCTTGACATATCACAGTATTAGATATGTCGAGAATGAGGAAAGGAAATATTGACAAATTCTTACATTTAAGAAGCATATGCAATGGAGAGAACATAAACAAGGGACACGGAAAGATAACCTTGATAGCAAAGGTGTTCAATTTTGTTTATATAATATAAAATTTAAAAAAGGCACATCTTGTATTAACTGATGTTTGTGCTTTCAGTACTGAAACTATTAAAGCTTCATCTGACGCAGAACCGGTGGGCTAGCCAGAACCCACGGGTTTTGGCCCTCCGCTGTGGGTAGAGCCGCGCGTGTGCTCATGCGTGCGTTTAACTACGGCATGTCATATAAGAGCTATCGAGGTTGCGGTTCGGACCGAGACCCCGATGGCCGTTGACTGTGTTTTTAGCTATTGGGTGGCTGGAGGCGGTGAGAACCGCCCTGGAAAGCGTTGTGTTAGTCTCGCCGTGCTCGAAGGCGAGGGCGAACTAATGTGTTTGTTGCTACACTAACTGTGTGTGTAGTGTTATGTTCGGCACTATCGAAAAACCGTTTGGTCAGGTCTTGGAAAAATTCGCGAATCGTCGGGAGTCTGCAATCGCTGTGCAGGTCGACGTTGCGTTGATACCACTGCGCACCGGTCGCGCTGCGGATGAACTTATTTTGCACTACTTGCAACTTGTTAATGCGAGTAGGGTTTGAATAGGCGAAAATCATGCATGCGTAGGGCAACATGATTGGCCATACGCAAGTCTTAAGAATATTTTACTTGACTGGTTAGTATTTAAAGGCCTTTTTAGTCGCACAATTTTTATGTGTGATACGTCTTATTTTGTGTAAGTGGACAGATGCTGTTAGCTATCCTATCCTCGAAGCTAATAACCTCTAAGCTTGAATGTTGAATTATTATAACGTCCAAGGAGTTCGAAAATTTAGAGGAAAGTGTTAAAACGTTGACTCTCTCCCTATCTCTTCCAAGCAAAATATCCCACTAGTCAGATTAAAAAAAATTTTAACCGACTTAAAAGATTCAGTTGAGATGTTGAGAGTTCAGTTGGGATGCCGTCAACGACAAGAGATGTCGGTGCATGTCTTTGAAAAAGGCGAAAAGATGTTTGTCAATGTCACCTTTTTAAGTCGCTTATATGGAGGGTTGAAGTAAGGAGGACCATCTCAGTATAAAAGTGAAAGTAAAAAAGTGTCCGTTGAGAGGGAGCAAATTAAGGTGGCGCTATAGTAGCAAGTGGAAGAATTTTAAATAGAGCGCCACAAATTATTAGAGTACTAAATTAAAAAAGGAAAGAAACATTTCCGCTTTGTTACAGCGCAATTTTTTAAATTTTATTGTAATATATAGACAAAAATGAGTATGGAATAAAATTAAAATTATACAGTGTTTTCAAGTACCCCAATTATTTGTAAATAGCAAATAGAATATAGTATTAAAGAATTACCGAAATAAAAAAAAACAATTAAAATTGTAACAAGCAAATTCTCAATCATTTAGACAATCGCGTGCTGAAAAAAGGTTATAGAGGTTTCATAATTATTATCTAAATGTAGAAACCACCATAACGGATTTAACAGGCAATCAATAAATATTTATTATTAACAATACAATATATTAACAGTACAATATATTAAAATATAAATGAAGAAATAAAAATATATATTTTCAACGATATAACACACTATATAGCACACTTCACTCTGCTTATAACTGCTAAGTTCATATCATTTCCACTTGCTACACTAGCGCTATTTCGGTGAGAGTTCAAACAATAATTTGCTGTTTACAAGTGGACACTTTTTCGAGTAATCCCCCATACGAGATGGTCCTTATTTTTTATTTTTTTACGTGGGAAAAATCCTTTATGGATCCCCCGCCGCCTTGTGGGTAGGCAACAGGGGTATGTGGGAGTTACGGGGTACCCACTAAAAAACCCACGTTGCACCTGCGCTGTCGCTTTGCCGGGGACACGGGAACACGAAAACGCAATCTTCCGCGAACTCCGGCATGACTGTGGAATTCTCAGGCCTCCTCTGCCCAGGTGCTTAGACAGCCGATCCAGCCAAATGGTGCCGTGTCGGTGCAATGAGCACGGCACCCCTCTCAAGCCCTCCGCGGAGCAGCAGTTAGTCCCACATCAGCTGCCCCGGGGCTTGCTATTAGGGGGGAAGGTTGCACGCGTAGGCCAGCCTCCTGCGCCCTGGTCTCCGGCGGCGGATTTCAAGGGTGGCAGTTGCCTCCCTTTTTCTCTCCGCGGCCTCCTTCCGGGTGATTATGTCCTCGCAGAATGCAAGGACGGCACCCCACGACCTCTCGCTGCCGACCATAGCGTGGACCACGGCGGGTAGCGAGAGATCGTGCCCCACGATAGTCATCAGCTCTTGGCGCTGCTCCCGCCAGGTTGAGCACTCCTCCAGTGCGTGTTGGGCCGTCTCCTCGGCACATACATCGCAGTGGTGGCAAACCGCTGTTGGCTCCCTCCCCGCCAAGTGACACAGGTACCTCCCGAAACAGCCATGTCCCGAGAGAACCTGCGTCGCCCGGTAGGTGAGGGTGCCGTGACGCCTGTCCAGCCACCGACTGAGTACCGGACGTATGGCCTCTATTGTTCTTAGGCCGGCACTGGGGCGCTGCAGCCTCTGCTCCCTCTCGGTAATAGCGAGTGAGCGCAACCTCAGTCTGCACCCACCCCCTCAACTCCTCTAAGGCCGGCAGATGGCCCCGGGCTATTGCCTCCTCGTGCCAGTTGTGCAAGGACGCGAGGATACCGGCTTCTAGGTCCCAGGGAAGAAAACCTGCCAGCGCGCACGCCGCCTCACCGGAGATCGTCCGATATCCCCGTATGGCCCGTATGGCCAACACCCTCTGCGGTCTGCGCAAAAGCGCCAAGGTCCGGTGATTCAGGGTGTCAGCCCAAACAGGAGCACCGTACAGGGCCATGGACCTTACGACCCCAGTGTACAGGCGACGGCAGGAGTCGTTGGGGCCACCAACGTTTGGGAGCAGCCTTCCAAGAGCGGCCGCTGCTCTTGCCACTTTTGGAGCTAGTCGCTCGAAGTGGGGAACGAAATTCCATCGGCGATCCAGGACTAGGCCGAGATACCTCATTGTCGGCTTGACGTCGACACGGACGCCGCACACTATTATGTGAGCGTCCGCAGGTGGCGCATTCCGAGGCCCATAGAAACGCAGGGCTTCGGATTTATTAAGCGCCACCTCTAGCACGAGATGGTCCTCCTTACTTCAACCCATAGTCGCTTACAGAAAGAAATCATAGAGAAATTCCCGAGATTAACCGGAAAGCTTATTTATTTATTTAATGTACACAGAGAATTATGACAGAAATGTAAATACATGAATGAATTTGTACAAAGGGCCTGTTTATTTCTTAAGAAATATTATTTCAGCTTATTTCTTTCAGCAGACCTATGACTGGAAATTGGTTACAAATGGTAGTTAATTGTGTAAATACCTTAATAATATTGCACGTATATGCAATAATTATAATATATATATATATATATATATATATATATATATATATATATATATATATATATATATATATATATTGCATTTAAACTGCCAAGGAAGGGTTAAAAATCGATATGGCTTTAGATTCCCTGATTATCGGTGGAAGTGAGTTCCATACTGCATGGAAAGTGACATTTAAATATCACGTTAGCATTGTAGCCAAGAAGGCTACATCTTTCTTATCTTTTCGATTTCTTTCTTTTCCCAGCGATTTTCATGAAATTTAGTATGTGCGTAGATTATGGGGCGAGGTTTCATTTATAGAAAATGTTCTTTTATCTCTGTTTTCAGGGAATGAAAAATATCATTCGAATATGACAGTAAATTTCGCCGCAAAAAAATTGTATAATAGCTCGGTCGGTAATCAGGCGGCCCCAAAACAGACGGCCGCGGATCGTATCACGATCTTTTTTTTTCCTTTTTTTTCTATACCAGAACATTTTCTTTATTTTTTATTTCCAAAATACATGATTTACCAAAAAAACCGAGCAAAGCTCGGTCCTCCAGGTACTGAGTATTAATATGACACTAAAATGAAACGTTCACTTGTACAAATCATGTACACGTCCCACTCCCAACATGAAATGCGAGTGATCGCAAGTTCAAATCCCCGCAGCGACGAAAAACTTTTCATCATTTTTTAAACAATCTTAACATTCTTCATATGTATAGAATGTGAACTATAAAAATATAATATCATTTAAGTATGCGAATGTCTGATGGTTACTTGATAAGGCGTCTGAATGCGCCACCCAAAATTTTACTGCGGGTTCAAAACGCAGTAAAACTTTAGCCTTTTATGTACATAAAATTACATTTTAAAAACGTCCTTATAACATAGAATGATGTTAATTGTTATCCTAAAGTAGGGGAGCGTTTTTTTTTAAATAACAACTTTAACCTATATGCCTGTTTTTTAAAAGTACCTTTATTTTCAATTATTTTATATCAAGCACATATTATTAACTGATAGACATAAAATTACTATTTTCTATCGAATATAACATGGGGAGTGCTCTGAGGAATTGATCGGGTCAATACCTGCTGGTCGAATTTCACAGTCGTCCAAGTGATCAAACCGCCAAATACCATCGACACCACCATAATGGGTGGCGGTCCAACACTGTGCGTTTTTTACGCAATTTTCTCCGGACCTACACGACTTAGGGAACTTCAAGAAAAGAGCCTACTCCTACCTTAAACGCCGGAAACGCAAATGTGACTCAACCAATGTTGTAAGTGTCATAAGCCATTCCGCTTCGTGCTCTCGTACGGAACGGACTCTCTAAGATGGAGGGCACATGCCGCCCGAATTTGACGCTACTCGCAACTTTGGTTGCAATTTAAATATTTGTGCAAGTAGTGCAATAGGTTAGTGTAGTGTTGTGCTCGTAGGCAGGTTCCTGTCCGTAAGTAGAATTCTACACACATTTCTCGCCTCAGAGGCGGCATTGCCTAATTTTTAACTGTGTGCTTGTTGCATTGGGCGACAGCTAGATACTCACCCTAACGCACCTAAAGCGCAGGCGAATTAATTGTTATTTTTAGGCACACACAGGGAGGACCTGCCACAAGGTGGGGAGGCTTATTAAGCTTAAACGCCGGCAGGGCCTAAGCCCCAAAGGCACATACGTTACGATGGGCTCCCTTTTAGGAGTTCGTCCGACAACGCTGTCCTGATATATGGGAAAGCTACGTTCGAATCCGAAAAACGATTAGTCATTGAATACGCCAACGACAGCCCGCCTTCACCGGCAATTGCGTCGCCGCCATCTCCGGCGCTCTCTGCGCCGGTAGCCCCGTTGCCCCTTCCGCGACGCAAGAAGCGCCCGATGGTCGACATCCGCCACTGCGAACACGCCTGCCGTGCCTTCCTCGCAAGCTGCCCCGGCCTCCTTCTGCACCGTCGTACTCGACTCATACTCGGACGGCGGATCGGATATGGAGGTAGATTTAATTACCGACTTTTACGACGGCTTCATGTAAACGGCATGATCTTGATCCTATTCACAACGAGTGTGTCATCGGCATATAGGTTAGATAGTTTTATAAATTTAACTAGTAATGTTTATTTGTAATTTTTTAATTTACCGAATTAGCCAGCTACAGTACTTGTCTGCTCTCCAACTATAATATTTCTATAAGTTTAGGCTTGTTATTGGCTGTTTGTCGTGTAGTTTAGTGTTAATTAGGTTTGAATAGCTGTAAGTCTTCCATATCTTAAATAAATAAATAAATATACGGAGGTGCAGCCATCTTTTTCGTTTCCGAATTCAAATTAAATGCTGCCTCTTTCTTTGTTTTCTAACCTACACCAATTAAAATATTAGGAAAATAATGGATTTTTTTAGATTTATTAAAAGATGTATATCAAAAAAAATGCAAAAGTTACTACATAACAATACATTTATGGCGATAAAGGTTACAAAAAGTAATTTGGTATTGGCAACATTGTTAGAACCTCCTTTCCTTCCCCCTGACCCCTCTACTACCCTTGAGTGTCCGACTTTCCAACAAGAGAAAAGTTAGGTTCAAAGTCTGGGTCCGGTTAATAAAAGTTTTTTTACATCTTGCAGAATTGTTATTTTTTTTTTTTTTTATAATGTCCAATAGCAAAATGTTGTGTGCTCTCAAAATTCTCAAGCGTCGTAACAGTATTAAACTTTTTAACAGTAAGTTATATAGAAATTTCACATTATATTTATCATGACTTTTTATCTACTTTACGTGTATTAGATGAAAAATGCAAAATAAAAATTAATACCCTATGTTTAAGGTCTAAACTGCAGGTCATATGCAGCTGCTACAAGTAGTCAGGTCCACACCAAGTGTAAATTAGTGGATGGGGTGTATGTCATTACTTTAGACTCTCCAAATGTTAAGGTAAAGTATTCTTATTATTTTTTAAAAGAGAGGTTAATATTTCATTACGTTTAAAAACAAACAATTAAAGAGCAGTATTAAATGCAAAGTGAAAGATGGACTTGTAAATTTGAAATAGCATCATTATTGTAGAAATCAACAACTACTATATGTTTGGACATAAAAATATATAAAATCAGAAGAATATAAACTCATTTATCTCCTAATAATGAAAAAAATCATACATAAATAAGAGTGGCTACATATTGTTATCAATTCTAATATATGATATTCAAGATATTCTTCGTGTAAAATATTAATTCATCAAAGAAAACTTAGCCATGTTAAAAAAAAAGTTAAATAAGAGGCTGTATGTACACAAATAGTAGATTCAAAATTGTAATAAGTCAGCACTTAAAATTAACAATTTCATTGATGCCGCCACTGGGGTCATACTCGGGTTATTTGAGCATATTGAATTAAAAGCGATTGCACAGGACAACGTTTTTTTTTTTAACTGTGGTAGGGCCACGCAGCAGCCTCGGGTAAGTACCACTAACTCACAGAAGACCAGCGTAAAGTGGAAGTATGGCAAATACTTTCGCGTTTCGTCCGGTGAGTGAGGTAGCCGGAGCGCAATTTTTAAAAGGTTGTCAACACATCTGCAAACCCTTGGGTGTAGCAGATGTCCATGGGCGGTGGTATTCACTTAACATCAGGTGAACCACCTGCTCAATCGGCAACTTTTCACATTAAAAGAAAAGCTTTCATGACTCTTTGCCCATGCACAAGCCATGTGGAATGAGAGGGAAAAATATTTAGAGGGAGTATTACATATTTATTACAATGGCATAATTTTGTGCATGTGTAAATTTTAATTTTATTAACAGAAAAAATATAATTTTCAACATTAAGTTATATTTTGGTTACATTTAATAAAAATAATATTAATGAAAAAATTTTAATTAATTAAAAAAAAATACCGGGAAGTCCATTTGTTGTTTGTCTACAACATTGTTTTCATAGAATTGCTAATTCTTTTTCAGGTAAATACTTTAAACACTGCCTTGATGGATGAGTTTAGAAATATTGTAAACGAAGTTGATTCAAATCCAGCAATAGAGGCTGCAGTATTGATATCGGGTAAACCAGGCTGCTTCATAGCAGGTGCTGATATTTCTATGATTGAGAATTGCAAAACAAAAGAGGATGTTGTCAGTCTTTCCAAAGCTGGTATGTTGCTATTATTTAGGAATTGTAATGACTTTTTTGGGTGTATTAGAATAATATTATAGAAATCACATTAGGTTAAATAAAAGAAATTTCCACGACTATTGACTCTGTAACTCTCTGTACTCTGTGTTCAATTTGTAATGAGTAAAAACCAAAATTTAAAAAAAATTGTTTAATTTTACAATTATTTATATGTATATGTAAAAATTGTTTTGTATTTAAAGGGCATGAAATCTTTAAAAGAATGGAGAACTCTCGAAAGCCTTATGTAGCAGCAATACAGGGATCATGCCTTGGAGGAGGTTTGGAGACGGCACTTGCCTGTCGATACCGGATAGCAGTTAAGGACTCAAAGACTGGGCTAGGGCTACCAGAAGTAATGCTAGGACTTCTGCCAGGGGGTGGTGGCACTCAAAGGTACTGATATATTTTGTATAAATTTATTATGTTTTAAAAATATGTCTAGTGGTTTTAATTTTTGCTTGTGCACTTACCATTCGGATTTTAGACCACTTTATTGTACATGAGTCGTATCCCATTATTTTTGTTTTTATTTTTAACATTAGGACACCAAAACTCACCTCAATACCTACAACATTGGATCTGGCTCTAACTGGCAAAACTGTTAAAGCTGATAAAGCCAAGAAACTTGGATTAGTGGATTTACTAGTGTCACCTTTAGGACCAGGTATATTTTATTTTTTTCAGAAAAGTTTAACTTAAGTAAGTTAGGTTGTCTTTAAGTAGTAAGTAAATAAACCAAACCACAATTGTTACATTGTATGATAACCATTTCAAATTGGTAGACATATCTCAAGTAAAACTTATGACTTTTATGCTCTGTTTATGTTTGCTTGTCACTTTTTTACTCCAGCAATGGATGTATCTTTTTGAGTTTTGATAGCCAATCGCGAAAATACATATGTATATTTTGTCTTTAGTAAAAATTTAAATAATGATAACATGGTAGCAGTAATAAAGTGGTGTTTCTCTAATAACTAGACATAATTTGTGTTTAATAATTTAGTTTTGTGTATATTCCTGGGAGTTTTAACATATAATTTATATTTTTAAAGGTTTGGGACAACCTACTGATAATACAATGAAATACTTAGAAAATGTTGCTGTACAAATTGCTAAAGATATTGCATCAGGAAAACTGAAAGTGGATAGATCAAAAAAGGGAGTAGTTGAAAAAGTAATGTCCACAGCAATGAAATGGGAATTTGTTAAGAACATAATCTTCAACAAAGCTAAAGAGCAGGTTATGAAAGCATCTCGTGGTTTATACCCAGCTCCCTTGAAGGTAGGTTAATGTAATACATGTTATTATGAATTAAACAGCTGTCACCCAGTAGACAATATCTTTAAAAAAGATTTTATTGATCAACAGGCTATCAACACAAACTGCTCTAGAAAGTTAATTTCGGTTACACAATCAATGACCGATTAAATAAAATAAATTATTACAAAATGATATTCATTCGAAAATAAGTTTCAAGTCAATCTGATGCAAAAAGCTCAAATACATAATGAGAATATTAACACACATTGATTTATAACATCTTGTATTAACTGATGCTTTTGCTTTCAGTCCGGTTCTGCGTCGGATGAAGCTTTAATAGTCTCGCTATTAAAGCTTCATCCGACGCAGAACCGGTGGGCTAGCCAGAACCCATGGGTTTGAGGCCCTCCTCAGTGGGTAGGGCCGCGCATGTACTCATGCGTGCGTTATTTGTGACATGTCGCCTACGGGCCATAGAGGTTCGGTGACCCCGATGGCCGTTGACTGTGCTTGTTTAGTCGGTGGCTGAGGGCCGTGTGAACCGCTCTGGAACGCGGGTGTACCTAGTGTACGCGTTGTGTCGGTTTCGCCTATGGTGTTTGTTGACGCACTGAGTGTGTAGTTTTGTTATTTGTCGGGACCCCTGACGCTGGGTCCGACGTTCTTAAGTTCCCTTGCTCGACCGGGTCGATAAGGACGTTGCGCGGGCTACGCTGTTGACGTTCGTGTTAATGTCGGGTTGGTAATTTGCTGCGCTTACCACCAGAGGGTTGGGATAATGTTCGGCTCTGTCGAAGAACCGTACGGTGAGATCTTTAAAATGTTCGCGATTCGTCGGCGTTGATACCACTGCGCACCGTTTGCGCGGCGGATGAACTTATTTTGTAGGTACTATTTGCAACTTGTACAAGCGAGTAGGGTTTATGTGGGCGTAGGTCATGCCCGCGTAGGACATAATAGGTGGTACGCAGGTCTTATATAATAATAATTTGTGCCTTAAGGGCATTTTACTTTTAGCGTTAGTTAAATTGTGTAGCCGGCCGGAGACGAACGCAGCTCTATTACGAACGTTATTAAAGTGCGTAGTAAATGACATACGCCAGTCGAAAGCGACTCTTAAGTATTTGAAAAATCACGAAAAGTAGCAAAAATGATATTTAAAGGTGTCTTGAGAGTTTGCTGAGGAATTTTAACGTCTTGTATGAGTATATGCAAATGAGATGAGCCAGTGTGAAATTTGTACTGAGACTTACAGGGACGACCAAAATGAACTCTGACTCAGTTTGATTGGAATTGAAGGATGATGATCTTTGAAAATGCAGATCCACACTTCATGGCCCAAAATAATAGATTGGAGATGAAAATTGACTATTTGGCTGCGAACCTAAAACAAAAATGCAGAGTTACCAATGGGCAAAAAATGTGGACTCAACATTCTCTCCAAACGGGTGGGCCTTAAGATGAATATGGACAAGACAGAGATCATATCTAATGTCCATATCACGCCTATACCAGTTCAGATTGAGAGCATGGTGCTCAATTTTCTTGATGAGTATGTTTACATAGGACTTTGATGCAGAGGTCAATCAGTGAATACACCGTTACAGCCGTATGAGGAAGCTCAAGATCGCTAAGAGAGTTATGGCGCGCGGTTTATGCTCGGTATTTCTCTGCGTGATAGAGTTCGCAACGAAGATATGCGCAGTAGTAAAAACATAACCGACATAGCTCAGCAGATTAGTACGCTGAAGTGGCGATGGGATGGTCATATAGCTCATAGACCCGATAACTGATGGAGAAGAACGGCTCCCGAGTAGCAGCCTCATATTGGCCATCGTGGTTTAGGTCGAACCCCGCTAGATGGAGTGACGACCTGCTGTAATATGCGCGAAATCGATGGATGCCGGTGGCTCAGGACCGTGCTTCGTGGCAGTCTGTGGGCGAGGCCTCTGTACCTGTGTTTTATGGCAACTAACTTGCCTGGTAGAGATGGGTAGTATCGCTTTTTCTGAGTACCGTATCTGAATCAGATTTCGATTTCAAATATCAGATTTCGAAACTATGTATTTTAATATCTAGATATTTTACGGTCCCACCTTGAATTCTAAAAAAAAAACCTGTTTGACTTTATTCGTCGATAGTCTTGTTCGACGATCATTATACCTATACATAACTAAAGCTATTACCAGTGAAACCAACTGCTCAAAAAGAATACTTCTAAATAAATTCAAAAACCTACTAAAATTGACTAAATTCAAAAAACTTACTGAATTTAAAATCACGATTTTTTTATACTATTAAGGTAAAATTAAAACATTACCTGATTAAATTAAAAATTTCATTAAAAATAGACATTGAAGTTATATAAAAATGATTTATTTTAACATCTTATATATCGCTTAATAATTGACTTTAACATATTCTTAGAACACGCAATCATGTGTGACCATAATTTTATAACTTGTGTAAGAAATAATACATTCCGTATTATAACTTAGGGCGGAAGAATTTAAAATATACACACAAAGCACATAAGCCTTGGTCTGATTTCCACCCAAGCAGCACAGCACTAATAAATTATATTTTTCTTTTTGTGTACTTTTATTTTTTTTCCAAATATATGAATAAAATTTAACTAATAAAAATATTCACCAAAAATTTACCTCCTATATAAAATCTCCATTTATATTTTTCTTCCTTAATTTAGGCAGAAAATTCTTAAGTAGTAAGTTGACATCCCTTACTATTACGTAGGTACCAATGCAATCCAGCTCAAGGTGAAACAAAATTTAAAGACATCGTTAATACCGTAATTCGTATTTAAATGCAACTAAAAATGTTTTTTTCCATGCTGTTAAGATTCAAAATTACTTAACTACGCGCTTTGTCGCCCGTTACGGCTCAACGCTAAACAAAACAATAAAAATATACTTAATAATATCGTTGTAGATACCATGATTAGTATTTAATTGAAACGGATCTTATTTGCATGGCATTAAGATTCAAAATTACTTAACTTATTCATAATATCTGTTTAAAAATCTGATATTGTGCCTTGCTTGCCGTACTGCTCTAACTAGTGTAATATTTGTATCTCACGCGCTTTGTCGCTCAAAATCTGTTTAAAAATCTGATATCGTGCATTGCTTGCCGTCCCGCTCTAACTAGTGAGTATTTATATCTCACGCGCTTTGTCGCTCGATATCTGATATCGTGCATTGCTTGCCGTCCCGCTCTAACTAGTGAGTATTTATATCTCACGCGCTTTGTCTCTCGAAATCTGTTTAAAAATCAGATATTGTGGTAAACGCGTATGATATCGCGATTCGTGTCGGTATAGCGAGCGAGCACGGTACATCAGATTTCGGAAATATCAGATATTGTAAAATACATAGATATTGAACGAGCCAGTAAGCGATATTCAGATATTGTACTAATATCTAGTTTTCATATCTGATACGATTTGTATCGCCCACTTCTATTGCCTGGTTCAGTAGCAATTTATAAATACTAATAATACAAATAGTATATTGTTGTAAAAGATAACTGTAAATATAATTCATCCCTCATTCATCCTTAAGATGTCTGATTGTCTTTTACATAAGAAAAGTACAAGCCTTGCTCAGTTTGGGACTAGAGAATGTTGTGTAAAACATATTTTCTTGGAATATATTTATTTCTTTTATATATTTTAACAAATGTGGTTGAATAATAATTATTTTATAAAAATATTTTAAATATCTTTATAAATTTGCAGATTCTTGAAGTTGTTCGAACTGGAGTGGATAAAGGCTCGGCAGCAGGTTATGAAGCTGAAGCTCAAGGATTTGGAGAATTGGCAATGACTCCACAGAGTAAAGGACTGATTGGACTTTTTAGAGGACAAACGGAATGTAAAAAGAATAGGTTTGGTAAATCTCAAGTGGATGTTAAAACAGTAAGTTGATTCTTTAATCAATATCTTTACATTAACAATTGTAATAGAGTCAGTAATAAGTTTATTGCACCCACTCTCCAAAGATAATTAACTATTTTCTATGTAATATTTGGTACAGTGGACAGTGCATTTTAATTATAGCTAAAAAAAAATATTTGGTGTTCAATTCAGATTGGAGTTCTTGGTGCTGGTTTAATGGGTGCTGGTATTGTCCAAGTCTCTATTGATAAAGGATACAATGTAGTCATGAAAGATGCAACAAATGCTGGTCTTTATCGAGGTGTTGGACAAATACAAACTGGCCTAGTTAATGCTGTCAAACGCAAAAGAGTTTCATCGTAAGTTGAAATAAACTCAATGTTGGCCTTACTAACCTCTCTCTACTATTGTGGCCCTACCACAGTTAAAATACTAATGGCAGGTGTCAATATTCTGTCTAGAAAAGCTTGAGTAAGTATTATGGAGCTATTAGTTAAATACTTATCATAACACAATCTATCTGTAGATAGAATATTGAAACTCGCCATAAGAGCCATCAAGCAATTCCCAAGTGGCCCAGTTGTAATTACATTATTCAATTAGATAATTGAGAATAATTTTTAAACTAAACACAATAAAATCTGTAAAATTTGATGTGTTTACATAAATATGAGAATTATTTTATATGTATGTTATAAGGAAGTAAGTATGTTTTAAAAATATGTCCAAGTTTATCACACATTTTTGACCGAGTGACTCTCTCTAAATTAGTCTTGTCTCACAGAACTTCACTCAATTTATTAATTCATATTCATCATCTGTTACAGCTATGCAAAACTGAACAAGTAACATTTGAATAGATTATGTAATGTAATAAATAGATTATATAATATAATCTATTCAAATTGTGTTCAAAAATCTGTTTAAAAAGTTTCATAAATTTCAAAGTGCTTGATTCCGACAATCATTTATAAAATAACAATTATTCACAATACTCAATATATACATACATTATCATTCTCTAATATTGGATATTGCAAATAATGAAAATTATTTAATCAATTCAGTTACATATTTTTGTAGTTTACAAAAGGACAAATATTTGTCAAACCTTATGCCAACGCTAAGCTATGATCATTTCAAGAATGTTGATTGTGTGATTGAAGCAGTATTTGAAGATATTAATATCAAGCACAAGGTTATTAAAGAATTGGAAGCGGTAATTCCGAAACACTGCATTGTTGCTACCAATACTAGTGCTATACCCATCACGAAAATAGCTGCTGGTAGCAGTAGACCGGACAAAGTTATTGGTAAGATCAAGTTGAACCTTTTTCCGTTTACATTAAATACTTACATTACAAAATCAGCCAAGTGCGAGTCGGACTCGCGCACGAAGGGTTCTGTACCATTATCAATAAAAACGGCAATAAGTCTTATAAATGTTGTATGGGTTGCCCTCCTTAAATTTTTTTGGTTTTTTTAGTATTTGTCGTTATAACGGTAACAGAAATACATCATCTGTGAAATTCAACTGTCTTACTACCATGGTTCATGAGATACAGCCTGTTGACTGACGGACAGACAGACAGACAGCGCAGTCTTAGTAATAGGGTCGCGTTTTACGTTTTGTGTACTGAACCCTAAAAATATGACAAGTACATTTGTATTCAAGCAATATTTCATGTAGTATGAACATAAGACAATTTTAGATTAATGGCTCCATCAATATATAAACATTAGACATGGATTAAAAATTGGGTCAATATTGGTTCTTTTTTATTTAACAATAAAAATAACTATTAATTTTAATTGGTATAGCTAATACTAATGAACATTTGCCTTGTAGATAAATCTTGTTTACTGCATAATATAGACAAATATATAAACTAAAATTAAAGGTATGCATTACTTCTCGCCTGTGGATAAAATGCAACTGCTTGAGATCATCCGTCACCCTGGCACCAGCGATGACACAGCAGCAGCAGCAGTGGCAGTCGGCCTACGTCAAGGCAAAGTAGTTATTACTGTTGGAGACGGCCCTGGCTTCTATACTACACGCATTCTATCAACTATGCTCAGTGAAGCTGTCAGGTTATAACTTTAATACTTCTTTTTATTGATAATCTTGACATTTGTTTTATGAGATACCTTGGAATTTGTGATTTGTTAGAATTTTCAAGTTGTTCTGTTCGATCGAAAAGGTTGTTCTTCTAGAAATAAGTTAGTGAGAATGGTACCCTGGTTATTCAAGATTGGATTATTATAAAATATTTTAAGGACCTTTTGCACTCTGTAATAACACAATTTTATATTGAGGCCATCCATTGCATAATGCATTTATTTTAAAACGTTACGTAAAAGTATGATATTTCCAATTCTTCTTTCTTTCTCCTGTCATTATCCCACACTAGGTGGGGTCGGCACAACATGTCCATCATTTATTGTCGGAACCATGTTGTTATTTCAGTTATTGGCTTTATTCTTTATGACTGGCCGATTGCCTGACGTCAACCCTCCTTGAGCATTCTAGTGATGATATTTCCAATTATTTTAAGAATTTAATCCTTTGCAGGTTATTGCAAGAAGGTGTTGACCCAAAAGACTTGGATAGTATGACAAAACAGTTTGGTTTTCCTGTAGGTGCCGCTACATTGGCAGATGAGGTTGGCATTGATGTAGGTTCGCATATAGCCGTCGATTTGGCCAAGGTGAAGTTCGAGATATAATTGAGTTATTCAAAACTTATCTTTCTCTATCATTCACTTGTTTCTATAAGCATGAGATCTATAAATAATATTAGTTTTTTTTTGTAACTTTATACAAAGATGTTGAACTAAATGGTTTCAGGCATTTGGTGATCGTATCAGCGGTGGGGACTTAAACATTATGCAGGATCTAGTGAAGGCAGGCTTTATGGGCAGAAAGTCTGGAAAAGGCTTCTATGTTTATGAGAAAGGTACTAAAAATAGGGATGTTAATCAAGAAGCAGTACAAATGTTGAAAGAAAAATACTCTTTAGATCCTAAAGGTGCTAATACTGTGGAAGATCAACAGTTAAGGATGGTTTCAAGGTGTGTCAACCATAAGTTATTTATTATAGAATATTTTTTACTGATCCACAAAGACAGATAAAAATTTTTGTTCACCACCTTATTACAACTTTAAACTTAGATCCTTTTTAATTTATCACTGTAGCTTGACCGTCATTTGCAATGCTTCTCGCAAAATGGAATGTGGTTCAATTTTTCGATTTCTATTATTTTGCGGTAGCTGTGACATTTTAGAAATATTCATATACCATTTTGAGATATATACAGTTAACACTGTTAACAAGATACAAATATATAAAAAATACAATGAATAAAAATGGCATGTTAATGTTATAATAATAAATACTAGCGACCCAATTCGTAAAATCTATTCTTAGCTAACCTCTACTCGGCTAAAGGAATATTCCTACTAAATTTCAAGTCTCTTCGTCTTATGGTTCCTGAGATATTGTTATGAGTCAAGAATCGGTGGAAATCTCATATATATATAGACTTAACATTAAACACTTTTTAAATAAAGTATTATTCAATTTTCTTTTAGATTTGTCAATGAAGCAGTATTATCATTAGAAGAAAATATTTTGCACAGCCCATTGGAAGGTGATGTAGGTGCAGTTTTTGGTCTTGGATTTCCACCATTTACAGGGGGCCCCTTCAGGTATTGTTGCTAAGGAATTTTTATTATCTTTTAATATTAATTTCACTTTTGCAGTTAATAGTCATTTATAAACATTTATTATTGTATCAAATTAAAAGATAACTAGTAGGGCTAAAATTACTATAACAAATACAATTATTACAAAAAGTTTAAAGTTTAAAGTCGAATGTGTAAGAAACTAAGTAATCCATTCTGGGTTCATACCTAAAATTTATAAGACTACAGTAACCTTTTTTTTAGATGGGTTGATCAATATGGTGCTGATAAATTGGTCAAAAAAATGGAAGAGTATCAGGGTTTGTATGGAGCACCTTTTAAACCAGCACAATCACTTGTAGACATGGCCAAAGATACTAGCAAGAAGTTTCACACAAAGTAATAATCTAAACGATATAATTGCAAAAATAGATTGTTAATCTTCAGTGGTTTCTGCTAATTATAATCAAATAAACACAATAATGTAATGTATTGTTAATTTTCTAAATGTTTATTTGATAATATATTTATGTACACATTTTTCTTTGTCTATAAGTGAAAACAATCATTTCTATTTGTAAGAGGAATATCATAATATGTGAAAATAATTATTCAGTTATACAATTAAAGTTTACGGCAAATTTTTTGCGTAAAATTACAGACACTTCCTTTAACATAAGACTTAATGAATAAAATTTTGTATAAAAGTATATATTTGCTAAATAGATATTAATTGAAATTTTATTTATTGTGTAGATTGAGATTGCCTGTCATCTATTGGAAATTATACTATTTAATAATAATATGTTGTATTTTTTTTTATTTTTCCTAACAAATACACACCTTAAAATAAATACAATCAACTGTTTGAGTCCAATATGGTTTTGCCTCTCCCTGAATCCTCTCAGCGTGTTACTGGAGGGCTCGGGGGGAGGATTTCAGCTTCGGAGAGGAGGGACAAAAGTGACCCACCTTTTCTACATCGATGACCTCAAATTATTCGCCTCCAATCGCTCCCATTTGATGGACTTGCTTAAAGTCACTTGTGTGGCATAGATTTATCTATGCCCGTTAACATAAGGACCCTCTCTGACGCTGAAACATACCGATACCTGGGTATGTCACAAAACATGTGTATCGATGAGGCTGGCATGAAACAGTCAGTTCGTGACGTGTTTTTTGCACGTCTGACAAAGGTGTTTAACAGCCATTTGTCAGGCGTGAACAAGGCGCGCGCATTTAACGGCTGGGTCATGCCATTCCTCATGTATACCTTTGGCATACTCAGGTGGACTCAAACTGAGCTCAACGTCCTGGACCGAAAAGTCCGCACAACTATGACGTCCCACAGGATGCATTATCCGAGATCGTCAGTAATGAGGCTGTACATGCCGCGGAAGCATGGCGGTAGGGGCTTTTAAGGCGCCCTCACCATGCACAATCGCGAGGTGTGCCGCCTCCGTAACTACTTTCTGGCGAGATCGGATGAGTCAATCTAGATTCCGCTTCGTGCTCTCGTACGGAACGGACCTCTCTCTAAGACGGAGGGCTAATGCCACCCGAATTAGACGCTACTCGCAACTTCGGTTGCAATTTAAATCTTTGTGCAAGCAGTGCAGTAGTTTAGTGTTAGTGTTGTGCTCGTAGGCAGGTTCCTGTTCTGTAAGTAGAATTCTATACACACTTCTCGCCTCAGAGGCGGCATTGTTTTTATTTAATAATTGTGTGCTTGTTGCGATAGGCGACAGCTAGGTAGCGCACCTAAAGCGCAGGCGGATTAGTTGTTAGTTTTAGGCACACACAGGGAGGACCTGCCGCGGCAGGGACCGCAAGGTGGGGAGGCCTATTTAGTAACTTACACGCCGGCGGGGCGCAAGCCCCAAAGGCTCAAGCGCTCGAAATGGGTTCCCTCCTAGAGGAATTCCTTCGCCAACGATGTCCCGAAGTGTGGGCATACTTTCTCGCGTTCGCGAAAGAAAAATGTTTAGTCGTCGAGTTCGCCAGCGACAGCCCGGCTTCACCGGCAGTCGCCTCGCCGTCATCTCCGGCGTCCTCAGCGCCCGCTAATACGTCGCCTTCAGCGACACAAGAAAAGCCCGTCGCGTCGACCTCCGCCGCCGCGATCGTACCCATCGCGCCTTCCGCGCATCCCATCTCGGCCCCCTTCCGTGCCGTCGTTCCCGACTCACAATCGGACGGCGGATCGGACATGGAGGTCGAAACGACCCCCGCTGAAAACGCGAACGTCGACGGCTTCACCGTCGTAAAGTCGCGTAAGAAGGGCAAAAAACGCCCCGCTGCCGACAGCGACCCCGAATGCGAGGCCGCTTCACCTAACCAACCCACCGCGACGCCCGCCAAAAAGATGGCTGCGGCGGCTAAACCGATGCCCGAATTCGCCTCCGAGCGAAAAATAACCACCCATCATCATTCAGGAGAAGGCTAAGTGGCACCAAATTTCTTCGTGGTTTGAACGCCACAATATCCGCGACCCCCGGTCGAAAAATAAACAAATGGGTATCCGCGTATACCTTGACACAACGGACGATTTTCGCCGCGTAACGAAATACTTGCGCGAAAATAAGATAGGTTTTCACACCTACTCTTTGCCCGAAGAACGCAAGCTTCGGGTAGTTATCAAGGGCGTCCCCAAAGAGTCGGATGTCGACAAGGCGAAAACCGACATCCGCACTCAGGGATACCCTGTGCATGCCGTCCGACGCCTCAGACACCCGAGAACCCGTGTCCCTATGGACATGGTGATGGTTGAACTTGACCCTACCCCGGAAGGTAAGGCCATCTTCAACCTGAAGAGGGTCTGTGGGCTCAGCGACCTCGTGATCGAGCCCCCGCGAAGATCTGGAGTTGTGGCGCAGTGCCACAACTGCCAACACTATGGCCACACGGCTAATAATTGTTTCGCTCACCCTAGGTGCGTCAAATGCACCGGTGACCACGGCATGCCCGATTGTACGCGGCCAAAAGATTGCGCAGATCCACCGGACTGCGTTAATTGTCATACCACCGGCCACCCGGCTAGCTACAGGGGCTGCGCTAAGGCCCCAAAAACTCCCGCGAGAAAAGCTCCCGCGAAATCTACTTTGCCCAAACCCGCGCCCGTGAAATACGTTCCCGCGCCCGTACCCGTCGTAAACGCCTGGGCGAAACCCCAGGTGGCCGCGCAGGTAGTTGCGCCCCCGGTCGCCTCACGACCAATCACTCAATCGCAGCCCGCCTATCAAACGGCGCCGACGCCGCAGGTGCAGTCGACACCGTCGGTTTTCGCCGGAAACAAGGACGACCCGTTCGCCCAAATTGCCAACATCTGCGCCTTATTAGACCGCATTAATAGACAAGAACTCGCCGTATTGTCCGCTAAAATAGCGGCCGCCACATCTGGCAACGCGCGATTTAAAGCCATTAGCGAACATAAAATGCTTGTAGAAGCCCTCTGGGCATTTACAAGCCAACCATAAACTTAATAGTCCGCGCAATAAAACCGCGCTCCGCCGCGTCGTTAGTTAGAACTCATAAAAAACTTTAATGCTTCCCATTAAAGTTTTTTATGAGTTCTACAACCGCAGGTAGAACAAAACCTCGGGCTCTGGTTGTTTCGTATTTCAACGCAAATGGCATAAAGGGTCAAAGGGACGAAATCGCGGAATTCCTTCGCGATTATAACGTAGATATTTTTCTAGTGCAAGAGACATTCTTAAAACCTAGTGTACGCGATCCCAGAATCGCAAACTACAACATAGTCCGCCACGACCGGTTAGCCAACCGTCTGGGAGGCACCTTAATTTATTACAAACGGTCCTTGCACTGTAGCCCGCTCGACATTCCAGAGCTAAGCCATATAGAGGCAACCGCGTGTAGGTTAGCGCTCACCGGCCATAGGCCGCTTGTACTAGTCTCAGCCTACCTCTCGGGGAACAAAACCTTATTACAAAGCGACCTAGATACGCTACTCAACTTAGGCCCTTCCGTGATAATTGCAGGAGATCTAAACTGCAAACACGGCTCATGGGACATCCACAGCATCCCAAATAACAACGGAAAGCATCTCTTTAGCTTATCGGATAATTTAAACTTTAGCATAATCGCTCCTGCGACTCCCACTAGGTATCCTACGGTGGACAACTACCAACACGCGACACCGAGTATCCTAGATATCATGTTACTCAAGGAGGTCTCGCTCGACATCGAGTCGATAGAGACAATTCATGAACTAGATTCAGATCACAGGCCCGCCCTGTGTAAACTGGGCCAGGATGCCGGCGCGGTCCCTCCGACCAAATCCGTAGTGGACTGGCATCGTCTTGAGGTCAAACTCAGGACCTTGGACCCCCAGGACATAGTCAACCTACCCGAACTTCGATGACGCAAATTGGGCGATAGCAAGTCTCCGAGAATCTATTACTTCCGCAGTCGCAGACTCGGAACGGACGGTGAAACGGACGGTTTAACTTTCTGCCCGACCTAATGCTTATTAGACAGAAAAATGCATCCAAACGCGCTTTCGACCGATACCGATCGGAATCGAACCGAACCCTACTTCGACGCCTTCAGCTAGAAGTCAATGACGACGAAGAAGTGACGACCCGAATGGCGTTGTGGGTAGTGTACCTGCCTCCTGCGCCAGGGGATGTGGGTTCGATCCCCACTTCTGGATAAATATTGTGTGATGAACATTGTATTTTTCTAGTGTCTGGATGTTAATATATGTATAATATGTATTTATTTACAAAAGAAAAGTATGTTTAAGTATGTTTATCAGTTTTCTAGTACCCATAGTACAAGCTTTGCTTAGTTTGGGACTAGAGAATGTTGTGTAAAAATGTGTCCTAAAATATTTATTTTAAAAAAAAAAGATCGTGTATCGGAACACCAACATACCACGTGAGACATCCTAGAGAACATAGCACACCGCCTACTGGCGGTTGGCCCGCAGTCTGAAAGCAGGCCCCGCGAATCTCTACCGCCGTTAGTTAGACCTAATAGCGCTTCAGCAGCCCTAGATGACTCCGAAAAAGCCGAATGCCTTGCGAACAACCTAGAGCAGCAATGTACGCCATCGCGCGAACACACCGATACAGCCCACCTAACGGAGGTGGACCGCGTAATCAAGATTAGGGCTGCGCTTCCACCGGAAGGCGATCCTTTGAGTTCAGTGACTCTCGAAGAGGTCCAAGACATTATTAAAAATTTAAAACCGAAATCCGCCCCGGGACGAGATTATCTTAGTAACAAAATTCTCAAAGCACTCCCTGGGCCGCTTATCTGTTTACTGGCGACCATTTTCAATACTTTACTCTCCAGTTGCTTCTTTCCGGACGACTTGAAAGAAGCCACGGTTATCGGCATTCGCAAGCCGAATAAATCAGCCCTGCTGGCCCTGCC